AGTCTGCCGAGTCAGCTAGTTTCATATAAATTGTATAAGGTACATACGATAATGGCATTATTTTCTTAGTTTTTCGCCAGTTGTATTCCAATTTGAAAGTTTCAATCGACTCCTTTGCCGTAGAATTAATTAAAATTAAACACAGACCACTAAACTACATCTAGTACCTAGCTATCTGTACTTCATTTCTCTCTTTAATTGTAAGGGCACATTGTGCACGGGTGGATTTTACCATCCTGCCTATTGCTGCTATGAAACACATTTGCAACAATTTGAAGGGTAGGACACCCGTTTTATCAATGCAAAAGACTTTAGATTTACGTTTCATATTAGGCGCCATTTAATAGCTTTTATTTTCCATTAACTTGGATAATCACTTAAAACTTTTAATTAATTGTTACTGTTATATTTTTAGTATATAACAAATCACAAGTTACGTAGAATAGACAACTCCGAAATACAAAAATCAAGTCATAATACAAGTAGATAAATAATATCTACCAGACAACGACAATTATTGGGCGATCATACTTACCAGCAAAACATAATATTTTTAAAGTATCAAGATTTGTATACTGACGTCATTGCCCAGCGAAGCGCGGTCGAGAATTAGCAGCGGCGAGAAAGAAAAATGATTGTGACAGTCCGGCGAACAACACTAATGGAGTCTGCGTCTGCAAAATGTGCCCACTTAGAGCTATATGTACATATAGTATCATTTATCTTCAAGTATTTGAATGAAAATTAGATTATTTAATGGCGAGAGCTATAGTTCGATTAACCTAGAATTTATGAAAATACTAGCGACCCGCCCTCGCTTCGCTTCGGTAACATTAAATTTTATTATTGATAGGCGAGTCCCGCCATGTTGTGCGCGGTACGACAATAACTGCGGGTGACGCCGCGGGGCGAAGCTAGTCTAAAAAAAGTAGCCTACGTTACTCCTTATATCATCAGCTACCTATTAGTGAAAGTCTCATCAAAATCGGTCCAGCCGTTCCAGAGATTAGCCGGAACAAAGAGACGGACAGACAGACAGACAAAAATTGTAAAAAAAATTATTTTGGTGTATGTACCGTATATATATTCATATGCATGTAGAAAAAAGCGGTTATTTCAATATTACAAACAGACACTCTAATTTTATTTATATGTATAGATTTCCTCTAAAGAAACGTTAGTAATAGAATAAGGAATAGATAATTTGCGATTTTCAAATAACGGTAACGCACCACTAATACTTTTAGCTCATTGATCAAGATAACATCGACGACATTTGAAACTTCTACACAGTTGTTAACGCACTAATCTCTGGTTTAAAATTGATCATTACAGAGAGATATGACTGTAGAAGGGTGACTATCTGATTCATGTATCTAGTCAGATTCAAATCGTTGAAATACAGAGGGCAATTTGAAACAACTCGGCAAGCAATAACGGGCGCCACCCTAACAATATAACACTCCCCTCACAAATTAAGTGTAAAACAAACCTAATGAAATTTAAATATCTCTCTGGCTTCGCAATAACTGCACAAATAAAATCAAGTCGCTAGGGTGAATGTAATCGCTTCTATTGTGCACACATTGTACCGAATTATTCCATTGGTGAGTTTTACAACCTTATCAAAGAGAAAAGTGTTCATTCACAAGTTATCCTCCTTTTGGTTTACGAGTTGCCGTTTCAACAAGGTTGTGAGGGCTTTGATATTGAACAAGGGGCGGGCTGTACTCGAGACATTAATACCCTCCCGGGGTGAGAGCAAGCCTCGCATTGTTAACATATTAGGGGATAATTCATAACACTTAGCGGATATGGAATTTAATAGTATCTAACGAAATAATATGTGTTCTATTAGATTAAGACAATTTCATTTCCTCCAATTTCTTCATAATTTGGGCATTATATTATTATGATAGAATGCGCAGGCGTATTTTAAAATATGGTAATTATGGTATGAAAATTAAAACAGCTGTTAAACATTACGATAATTATCTATAAGACAATTAAAAGTCGACAATATTTGTTAATGTCGTCAAAATTAATCAAAACTATAGTTTTTTCAACACGCCGTTTTTAAAACCAAATATAAGGTTGAATCAAATTATCATACATATTTATTTTTCATATATTTATCATATAATTTACTATAAATGATACAACCTATAGAATGCATCAACCGCAGTCTATTCTAAATATTTATATTCGTTAAAATAATGTTTTTCTTAAATTCTGAATTTGGATTTTAGAAATCTTGTGGAAAATTTGTCATTACGTCCGTTCGATTTTATTATTTGTAGTATGTGGATAAATAAAATTCTTGTATCATAAAGGTTTTCTAAATAAAACAACCGTTTTAACCGACTTTGAATTAAACAGAAAAAAAAAGTTTCTAATTACCGGACATAAGTAGTACTACACCGCCGAAGACTGATCTATGTAGTTTGAAGATAGACATGTCATAATACTTAGGGAATAAATACCCTGAAGAAGTACTTTCCCGAGCGATATTGCGCGACAAGAGAAGTATCTCTGGTAGCGCATTATTTTAGTTTTTTTAAGTCAAAATTTACTAATTTAAATGTAAATAATATTGCAGTGTGCAAGACATAATTATGGTAACAACAATCTCATCCTAATTATAATAAAATCTGCATTCCTAGCACTGCAATGTCCATGAGTAAGTAGGCTGAGCAGTGTGTGTCTAAATTAAATTCTATGAAAGTTTTCTTTTTTGTCTTACGTGAGTACCTAAGTTTAACTGCACGTTCTCAGAGTTTTACTTCAATAATGAACCCCGGAAACGTAATTATTCCACCAAATCGACTTGAATATCCAACAGAATGTTTTAAAACACGTTCTCTCGCCCCTCAAAGGGAAGGATACTAATTTTCTTTCAAAAGAAGCTTTCTTTCAAGAAGTGGAAAAAGTTACAATCTGAAAGGAAATTTGCGTTTTAAATCCTCTAATGAAGCTGAGAACTTTGTAATGGAGGGGCGAAAGGCTGAGAACAAATTGAGGAAAAACTTCGAGTGCACTTGATTACCTTTTATTTTATGCTTACGCTTTGTAAACGGGAAACGGAAGATGAAATAATAAAGTTGTTCGTAATTTTCTCTCGATGAAGTATTCGAAATAGAAAATTGTTTGAAACTAATTCGAAGCTCGGTTTTATTAGTCAACACCTTTACCGTATGTACTTACCTGAAATTGTGTAAAATAAGTAAATGCGTATGTATTAGATTGGATCAGTGTGCTTAGTGAGAGTTTTTTAATGTTCTCGATAGCGTAAAAGTTAACTCTATGGAATTGGAACGTTTGCCTACGTTTGCCGCTAGGGGCGCTGTTTCAACTGCATACAATTTTGAGATAACTTTTGAACTATCGAGAGCGTTAAAAAACTCGCACTAAGTATACCGTAGGTTTGTGCGACAAAATTGAAATTTTAGCCAGCTTCTAATTAAGCGGGCAGGCACTACGATCATCAGAAAGCGAGTAAACGATTCATAAATCTTCGACTGGAATTCGATCGAAACGAACTATAGTAGAATTATTTTGTCCGTGCAGTTTGGATCATAAAACATAACCCGGCTAGGGCGGTGAGCATGTTGCGCGGGCGCAACGCCATTATCAATAAAAACAAATGAGTCATCGAAGGCAGGTACACGGCGGCGGGGTGGTATACGAAGGGTGGTGAGACATTGTTATGTCAAGAGTCATTTGTACTTACCTGCAAATTATAGTACATTATGTCGAAGAGAAATGTGTTTTTATGCATTCGTTCTCTGAATTTCTTTAGTGACATAATGAATATTCCTTTGTTTTGTATCAAAACGGCAGAATTTATTATTTATAAAATAATATGCACGTGTTGTTATCAACCATGTGTTCAAAATTTTCACTGAAATAAGAATAGATCCCGAAAAGTTGCAGTGTTAATTTCTGCCGTTCTCGTTAACTTGCTGCGGCTATATGTGGTGTAAGTGTTCGGTTAGTGATTTTTTCTTTCATTTGTATCACTAACCTACAAAATGTCAAAACTAAATACACTCTCGATAACGTTTATCGACAACAATAATGCGCATCACTATGCCCGTCCATAAGACTCGTGAGTGGAAGATAGCGAAATACTTACTTCACCGCTCCGATTTTTTATGACCCAAACTGCACGGACAAAATAATTCTACTTCTACTTCTATTCTTCTATAGTATTAATAAAAACGACCCCAAATTTATATAAAAATCGGTACGTATATGCTAAAAAAAATCTTATCCGTTTTTCTCGCAATTAGACATTCGTGAGGCATTCTTACAGTAACTGATCCTATGTCACATCCTTTGTAGGTCTCAGTTTTCGTCTGTCCCTTTCGATTGTGTGTGGAGCTAGCTTTTTATAAAAAGACTTGGTGGACTGTTTATATTGTAATGTACTGTGGTGTAAATGTTTATTTAAATAATAAAACCATGGGATTGTTTTTCGATTAACGAATTTTGCTTTAAATCGGAACTATACCTCTTACCTATCAATTAATCTCCAATGTCATTAACATCACTTAAATAAAACAAAATTAATTTTGTAACAAAATTTATTTCAATGTATAAATAAAAGTATGTTTTGTTAAAATAAAAACTGACGCCTACCATACAGTTTGATTTCGTAACGCTCTCATAACAATATTTAATTTTAAGACTCGTTGCCATTAATTTCCTTGCTGCGATATGAGCTGACAAGCAGACGAGTTGATCGGCCATCCAAAGTTGAGTATTACTGAAGTGCACATAATGTAAAAACCGCCAATCATTAAAGTAACGATTGTCCTAATCTTCTATATAGATAAAAATGAATTGCTGTTCGTTAGTCTCGCTAAAACTCGAGAACCTGGACCGATTTGGCTAATTTTGGTCTTGAATTATTCGTGAAAGTCCAGAGAAGGTTTAAAAGGTAGCTAAACGTGAAAATGCTCGGAATTAAATAAAAATAACAATTTTGTTTTTCCTTTCACGTGTCCCCGTCGGACTTATTCCTTTTGTTTGTTTTAAGTTTATTTTATACAAACGGTTAGGTCTTTTATTTATCGATTGAGGCACTTTCGCGATGGATATAATATGATGTAACTACATTATGTAATAAATTCTTCGTGTTTAATTTTCACCAAATAACATTATCTTCATCGGGGCAGTATATCGTGAAAGTGTCGTACGTAATTGTGGTAAAATTCGATGGCTAGTTATTGCCGTACAACGCTACACTTGATACAGCGGGCGTCTAGCTTGTCAGAGAACGGACTTTTTTTTTTAAATAGCTCACTTTAACAGATTATCCTCTTTAAATACATAGATAAAATATAATCAATTCGAAGTTATGCATAGTTCATCGTTTTAATGCGATCCAACACGCCGCGTGAATCAAAACGTTCAAATATTTAAACGTACCTACGACGCGACTTCATAACGCTTTAGATTTCTTGAAACCAAAATTTAATTTAATTCATGACAAAACCACAGACAAAACGTCCCTTTGACGGGATAGGCACTTTTCATATGCATACACTATTATTGCTTACGATAATTAGCTAAATGTAAGTCGGTATGTTCGTAGACCGTGAATCCCGAGGGCATTATGACAGACCGTCCTATGCTGTCGTTCGCCGGACACGTCGGACATGCACGGGCGTGCAATATGCGCCCCGCTCACGGTATACATGCCGCAATCAATTTTTAGAAGCAGTAATATAATTTATTTACACAATCAAGCAATTAATACATTTTAAAACATTATCCTTAAGCATCTTTCATCAGTGAATAGCTTTGAGTGTGAGGAAGACCATTATTTTTACAATATCATTGTTGGACTGCTTGGTTAGCGATGATGGATGGTGAGTTGACCGTCTCACCGAGGCTCTCGAGGAGCTCCTTACGGTAATCGTCGAAGTCACCGTCGACCTGTGAAAATATTCAAAATTAATCATTGTGATCTGAAACTGTTGTAAAAGGTAGGTATGTCTTTGTTAGCAGTCTCAAGGTTAAAGGAGTGATTATTCGACTCGGACTTCACGCCTCAAAGCATGTTTCAGAAGGACTGCTGAGGGACTCTGTGACCATTTCAAACTAGCTCACATGTCTTGGTCAGAGCATTTTGTTTATCGACGACAAAGCAGTTCAATCTCTATACATCTAAATAATAAGTTTCATCTTGTTACTGTTGTGTTACATATGGTAACAAAATTTGTTAAGGTTACAAGAAAAACATAAGAGACAAGTTAATGCAAATTTCGCGAAATGAGCTTAAGACTATTATTTTTTTCATATCCTCATTCACTGATTCACCGTATATATCTATACTAATATTATAAACAGGAAATATTTGTTTGTTTGTATTGAATAGGCTCCGAAACTACTAAACCGATTTGAAAAAAGTGACATAGGCATAATCTTTTTTGGAAAAAAATAGGGACCCTTACTAAAACTCCGTAACCCAAGATGTAAAAAAAATACCTAAAATATTCTTTACATCGCGTGCCCTGCGAAAACTATTGATGAAAGAATACAAATAATGGACTACGACTTTGTAGAACACATTATTATTTACAAAAAGTGTCGCGACAGCATATGTCTAACTATTATAGTTATGCCGCAAGAAGTGTTCTTTTATTTAAAAAAAAATAAAACTGACGTTTGACGTGACTAAATTTTTTGTTAAAGACCCGAGCGGAGCCGGAGCGGGCCGCTTGTACTTCATAAAATAATTAATCAAAATGATTTAATTGACAATCAATTACGTACCTCGTTGATGGTCTGATCTTCGATGACGTAGAGCGCGCAATCCGTCTCTCTGATAAGTCGTTCGTCGTGGGACACTATGACCACGCCCCCCTTGTAGTCGTTGATCGCTTCGGCCAACGCGTCTATACTCTCGATGTCCAAGTTATTTGTGGGTTCATCCTGTTTATAATCGAAGATCGTTTTAGTAACAAGTTTGTAAAATTAATTATTATAGTAAACTAGTGGTCCTGATAGTCGATTATAATTAATTAAAATTATAAGTTTGTACACTAATATGATTCTATTGTCAAATATAAATATAATCTTAAAAATAAAATAAAATACTTCTATAATCACAGATTTCGCCAAGACTACACTTTAGATATATATCATTAAAGACAAACAATAATCAATATTTTTTAAGGAATTTTATGACCTGATAACTAAGACCTTTAAGTCGTGTCTTATTTTAATTTATATTCTTATTTTTATGAAAATGATAATATGGAGAAAATCAAATGAAATGAAATGAAGATGATTAATTTGAGACATTAATCAACTGGGATGATATTAACTGAGATGAGATGATATGGCATGAAATATAGCCTTAGTAAAATGGTGGTCATATACTGAGATTTTTTCAGTGGAGGATCCCGAGAAATTACGTCCCGCGGCCTTGTTTAATTTTCCCACATTTGTGCACTTTCACAGATATTAAACAGTTAAGAAACCACCATTATTACACATTTAAACCCGAAGAAACACTAAATAGACAAAATAAAACAAATCACACAACTTCACTCCTCGCGTTTCCGCCAAAAAGTTCCCATATTCAATCTTTTTTTTAAGGGATTTTATGACCTGGTAACTGAGACCTTTAAGTCATGTCTTATTTTAATGTATATTCTTATTTTTATGAAAAATGATATTATGGAATGAAATGAAATTAAAATGATTAATTTGAGACATTAATCAACTGGGATGAAATTAAATGAGATGATATGAGATGAAATATAATCTCAGTAAAATGGTGGTCATTTACTAAGATTTTTTCAGTGGACTTTTTGGAGGATCCCGAGAAGTTACGTCCAGCAGCTTTGTTTCATTTTCCCACATTTGTGCACTTTCACAGATATTAAACAGTTAATAAATCACCATTATTACACATTTAAACCCGAAGAAACACTAAATAGACAAAATAAAACAAATCACACAACTTCACTCCTCGCGTTTCCGCCAAAAAGTTCCCATATTCAATCTATTCTCAATTTGACCACAGACTATAAGCAATAAGAAAACTTTGACAATAAACAAATAGTAGATATGCATGCGTGTGTGTGTGTCAAATACATTGTAGTGTGTGTAATGTTTTTTTAATTAATTTATGATTATGATATCATATGATACGATGATTTATTAATTTATCTTAGATTAAAGCGGAGTAAATGACAACGAACCAGAATGATAACGTCGGGCCCCATGAGGGTCATTTCGGCGAGCGCCACGCGGGCCTTCTGTCCGCCGCTGAGGTCTTTCATCTTGATGATGTGCGCGTGGCTCGCCAGCCCGAACGTGCCGAGCGCCTTCCTCGCCTTCTCGTACTGCAGACCGAACAAGCGCTGCAGGTACTCCGCCGGCGTCTCCTCCGCCGTCAGGTGCTCGCCAGAGTGCTGGTCGAATCTGCCTATCCTCTGCAATCAAACCATCACATAACAAAATACTGGTGGTAAAACCTCTTGTGAGTCCGCACGGGTAGGTACCACCACCCTGCCTATTTCTGCCGTGAAGCCGTAATGCGTTTCGGTTCGAAGGGTGGGACGGCCGTTGTAACTATACTTGAGACCTTAGAACTTATATCTCTAGGTGGGTGGCGCATTTACGTTGTAGATGTCTATGGACTCCAGTGACCACTTAACACCAGGTGGGCTGTGAGCTCGTCCACCCATGTAAGCAATAAAAAAAGAAAAAAAACTAGTTTCGAGCGATGAACTATTTATTCTTCTCAGTCGTACACTCCTGGCGGAGTGGTCGTGGTTACGTATGTCTTAATGGTCGCGGCTTATGAGAGACTTCACCATCTCTCTGCATTTGTGGCGGTACGTGTACATTCAGTAAGGGAGCACTTCGTAGATGACTTGAGTCTGTCCACCTTGCGGATGATCGGCCGCGAGAGCGTTGACCGTCTACTCTTACTTAAACCACTAGACGTTCCAATGAGCTTTCATTACGAATGATATGTCCAAACATATTAAGGATGAAACTATGCCGAGGTACAAAGGGCATTTATTGTAATATCGCAGTTAAAATATACTTCAACAATAATTAAAACAAATATTCGATGTCTATAAGTTTACATACATTGAATACATACATACATTTTTAACAATCAATGTTCGCTCTTAACAACTCTACTTTCAAATAATTTCAGTTACTTTATAATAACGGTATTAGGTATATCACACACCCTGTATATGAGTCGACTATTATCAAAGCCGGCAATCTGACTTTTGGACAATGATTGGTAAATCAATAAATTTTTTTTGTCCAAATGCACAGATTGCCACCTTTGATAATAGACGACTCATATATGAGTCGTCTATTATCTGTATTGTATCTGTATCTGTAATCAATCTGTATTGACATATCAATAACATTGCCACCTTTGATAATAGTCGACTCATATGTAGTTTTTTATACGAGCTCAATTTTTGCGTACTTAAATTATAATGTTTTAATTATACAAACCAATCTGTGGTTCTTAAACAGTTCGCCGCGTATAGGAGTCAATTCGCCGACGAGTAGCTTCAGGAACGTCGATTTCCCGACTCCGTTGGGGCCCACGATCGCGATACGAGAATTAAGATCGATACCGAAGTTCACGCCCTTGAAGAGAGGCTTCTGACCGGGGAAGTTGAAATCCACGTCTGTGTAACAAAATAATAATTATTACAGGTTTATCGACCCTGGACAAAACGTGGTGTTATTACTGTGCTAAGGAATGTGTATCTCCATGATGACCTGGAGCTTGACTCGGTCATTCAGTATAAAGTCGTCGTGGTCTAAAGGATAAGAGGTCTGGTGCATTCGTGTTGAGCGATGCACCGGTGTTCGAATCTCAGGCGGTATACCAATTTTTCTAATGAAATACGTACTCAACAAATGTTCATGATTGATTTTCACGGTAAAGGAATAAAATCGTATAATAAAAATGAAACCCGCAAAATTATAATTTGCGTAATTACTGGTGGTAGGACCTCTTGTGAGTCTGCGCGGGTAGGTAACCATCACGCTGTCTATTTCTGCCGTGAAGCAGTAATGCGTTTCGGTTTGAAGGGTAGGGCAGCTGTTGTAACTATACTTGAGACCTTAGAATTTATATCTCAAGATGGGTGGCGCATTTACGTTGTAGGTTTCTATGGGCTCCAGCAATCTAAGCAATAAAAAAAACCCTTTGGCTGCGCAGGCGTCATACAATAACTGAGACTTGGACCTCATGTCTCGAGGTGGGCTTGTGTGTCTGTGGCGGCGCGTTACCGTGCAGTCCCAGGATGGGCGGCTGCAGCGGCGACAGGTCGGGGAAGCTGAACTTGACGATGTACTCCTTAGGCCGCTGCAGCAGGGCGACGGGCGCGGCGCCGTCCTCGTCCTCGCGCTGCGCCTTGCTGCGGTTCTTCTCCTGTTTCCGCGTCAACGCATCCTTCTGCTTCTTTTCCTGTTCCATGTTTATGTCATTTCATTAACTGTACAATATATATTTTTTTATTGCCCTTGTAGGAAGACGAGCATACGACCCACCTGATGGTGAGTGGTTACCGTCGCCCATGGACTTTAGAAATGCCAGGGGCAGAGCCAGGCCGCTGCCTACCGTTTAATACTCTCCACGGGCCTCGTTTGAAGAAGACTTTTTGGCGGGAACGCGAGGAGTGAAGTTGTGTGATTTGTTTTATTTCGTCTATTTAGTGTTTCTTCAGATTTAAATGTGTAATAACGGTGGTTTATTAAACTGTTTAATATCTTGTGGGAAAATGAAACAAAGCCGCTGGACGTCACTTCTCGGGATCCTCCAAAAAGTCCAATGAAAAAGTCTCAGTAAATGACCACCATTTTACTGAGATTATATTTCATCCCATATCATCTCATTTCATTTGATTTCATCCCAGTTGATTAATGTCTCAAATTAATCATTTTCATTTCATTTCATCATTTTTCATAGAAATAAGAATATAAATTAAAATAAGACATGACTTAAAGGTCTTAGTTACCAGGTCGGAAAATCCGTTATAAAAAATAAAAATTAACTGTACTATTAACAGTAGCGTTTAGTATGCCCGCACGGGAAGTTACCACTGTCCTAATTCAATCGTGAAACAGTCGTGCATTCCGATTTGAAGCGTGTGAAAGCTGTTAATACAATTGAGACTCCGATCTCATGTCTCAACATGAGAATAATAATAAACTTGTACAAAGTAATATTTGCGTGATGCACACAACGCAATATACAAAACGTCGTTAAATAGCACCTTAGTGATTTGCGATCACTAAAAATTATAACGTATTCGAAGCGTAGCAAATATCACAATGACAAGAAAGAAAGTACTGCTTGCATGGTTTTTTTGTTGTTAAGTAATTAATTTATTTCATTCGAAATTCGCTTTTACGAATGTCTCGTATCTATCAGCGGAGGAGCGCGCCCAGCCACTCTGGACTCGAGCCCCTATAGTATATGGCCTATACTCACGGCTTGCTTCTTGGACTGTCCGTGGGCCTTCAGTTCCTTTATCCTCTTCTCTTGTTTCTCATATTCCTTGATCATCTCCTTTCGTTTCTGTGCGTACATTTTCTTGAACATCGAATAATTGCCTTTGTAATAAAACAATTTCTGTTGATCTAAATGTATGATTTCGTTGCAAACGTTATCCAAGAAAGATTGATCGTGAGATACCACTAGTAACGTCTTCTTCCATCCTTGCAGGTAACTGAAATTGTTTTAAACTATATTCAGATATAAAAATAATAATTTATACTATCAAATACACCTCCTGAATGTAAATTAGTAACACAAAAATCTTAACCAAACGACATTGCCATTATTTATTAGCCTAAGAATAAACATACCTACACAAATTGCACATATGCACTTAATTTTGGCTAACTATTAACTATTAATTATTATTATTTATTTATATTTATTTAAAATCTTATTAATTACATAATATTTTTTAAAAAAGATATTAAAAATACAATTTTTAAAAAACACTATATAAAAATAGATTGCCGCTGATGGCGGTGTCTACGACACAAGCCACCAGTGGTTAAGACTCCAGAGTGAGAAACCTCCTCACAATGCGTGCAGTATCGAGGATTTATTATTATTATTATTATTATATTAGATGATGCATGGTGCGCTTCGCTTCTCTTAAAAAAAATCTACATCGGCGACATATACATATGTGTGTGTACATATAAACAAAGTTTCAAACAAAGTTTTAGGCAGCGGCTTAGCTCTGCCCCTGGCATTGCTCAAGTCCATGGGCGACGGTAACCACTCACCATCAGGTGGGCCGTATGCTATATCAATTGGGATAACGGTTCTCAGCTTTTAAGTGAACATACGTACACGCATATATTCCCTTTTATATTGTAATATGTATTTATAATATAAAATATAATATTGTTGACATGTCGCGTCTAAAGCGTTTTAGTGATAACTTCAATTCGAAGCGAAACAACGAACGAATCACCTAAAGCGAAGCGGAAATAAGTGAATATTAAATTGTACCTTAAGTGACGTCATAATCAAGTTCAGTTTTAATTTGTTGTTCGGTGTAATTTATTATTTACCCGAGCTCCAGAGCGTAATAATATTTTAAAATAATTAAACCGCTACTTACTTGTCTAACCAGATCACGGCGTTCAGATCTAAATGGTTCGTAGGCTCGTCTAGTAACAGCAGAGTCGGTTCTATGTACAGGGCTCTGTAAACATAATCATTGAGTAACTATACTGAGACCTTAGAACTTATATCTCAAGGTGGGTGGCGCATTTACGTTGTGGATGTCTATGGGCTCCAGTAATCACTTAACACCAGGTGGGCTGTGAGCTCGTCTACCTATATTAGCAATAAAAAAAAATAAAAAAAAATACGCAATAAAATTTCCAAAACTAGACTTTCTCTGTGAATACAGTCACGTCTATGATCTTTATATTAAACAAATACTTAGAATAGCCCTCCCTAAATTGCACAACTTAATTAGTTACGAGTCAAAAGCTACATACGCTGGCAGCCCTATCGATTCTGCCAGTGGCCATTGGCGATGATAATCGTATACCTAGACAAATATTTTTCTCTAATAATATCTTTTTTTTTAGGATTGAAGGATAACTGGTTGCCCGGAGGCCTTTCCAGTTTCACCGGGACAGGTGGGCGAGCAAAGGCTCAGCCAGGAGGGGTGGGATTTGCTAACAGCTGCCCGAGCGCCTCCGAAGGAGACCTACAATAATTATATCCTCAGCTACTCATTTAGAAAAGCACTGTGTAAATAAGATGTTACCTTTTTTTTTAACGCTGGGGAATCCATTTACGGATACCCGGTCCGGGGGGTAACGAACCGGGTTATGTCGGACTCCGATAAAAGAAATAAGAAAAAAAGAAAAAATTAATAAATAAGATGTTACCTAGCGAGCGAAACTCTCATTCTCCATCCACCGGAGAAGTTCTTGGTGGGTCGATCCTGCATCTCACGGCTGAAGCCCAGACCCGCGAGGATACGGCGCGCTCGAGGCTCAGCCGCGTCCGCTCCTATCGCTTTCAGTTCTGCGTAAACCTGAAATTAAGCATTATGTTTGTAAGCAGTCCATTCTTAAAGTCTAAAAAGAAGATAACTACTCTCATGTCAACAGAAAATAATATTAACTCGCTAAATTAGCTAGGCAGCGGCTTGGCTCTGCCCCTGGCATTGCTTTAGTCCATGGGCGAAAGTAACCACTCACCATCAGATGGGCCGTATGCTCGTCTGCCCACAAGGGCAATAAAAAAAAAACAAGCATAACGCTTCTCATTGTAATTCGATATTTCGTGAATCCGCAATAAATACTGGTGGTAGGACCTCTTGTGAGTCCGCTCGGGTAGGTACCACCACCCTGCCTATTTCGGCCGTGAAGCAGTAATGCGTTTCGGTTTGAAGCGCGGGGCAGCCGTTGTAACTATACTGAGATCTTAGAACTTATATCTCAAGGTGGGTGGAGCATTTACGTTGTAGATGTCCATGGGCTCCAGTAACCACTTAACGCCAGGTGGGCTGTGAGCTCGTCCACCCATCTAAGCAATAAAAAAAAAGAATACGTGACAAAACTTATGAGTCAATAGTCAATAAACTCAGAATCGCTTGGCAGTTTGCGGACGTTCCGGCGCTGTAGAACTCGTGCGAGGTCGTTAACCTTGCGCTACTGTCAATAATTCATTAACCACTTAACACAAAGCCGACCAATGGAATTCTGAAAATAAAGATGTCTGAAAATAGCCGATTATTTCCTCTACCGTCATATTTAGACGGAAAACGTAACGTGGGACGCCCCCTGGATAGGTGGTGCGATGTCCTCCGAAAGGTGGGCGGCAAGAAGTGGATGAGAAAAGATGATTATTATGATTATGATGATGATGATGATATTTATACAGGGTAAAAATATTTTGTGACCACAAACTTCAACGAATTCGAATGAGACGTTTTTATTCATTTCGCTTACCTCATTAAGTCTATCCTGTTTGCTGAGGTTGCCTTTCTCTGTTTCAGCTTCAAGCTCTTTGCATTCCTTTAGTAATTCTAAAAACACACAAATAAATACATTGTTTAAATTTTACTTTAATAGTAAAACCTTTGAGACTATAAAAATTATAGTTGTTGTCTGTCTTATCAGTCTACTATGCGTTTGTGCATTGCTCATCAGAATGAGTCGAAACATTATTAAGATTATTTATTTTTTGCTATAGCACCAAAGAAGTTGGCGCAGGAGTAGTTTCAACGACATAAAAAAAAATATCTCACCGGTTCTCTTAACATCAGATTCGAGGAGCGTATCTACAGCTGACATATCACTGGCTGTCACCTCTTGCTCGCACAACAGTATATCTATATGGGGCGGGAGCGGGAAGGCGCGTTGTGCTAAATGCCTCAATAAAGTGGTTTTCCCGTGTCCATTAGGCCCGACCAAACCATATCGACGTCCGTTGGCAATCAAGAGATTCGCGTTCAAGAATAAATCTTTTCCTTTCGCACTGATCGAGAAGTTTTCGACTTTTATGTCTACTGCGTTTTCTAGGGCTGCCATTTGACCTGTTGAAAAATATTCACTTTATACTGTGTCACACAACAACAACCGAATTTTACTTTGTCATGGTTCCTAATGCGAATAAAATTGTATCTGTACCTACCTACCTTGTAATTGTATTAAAAATAAAATGTTGCATGTACATTTTACAGAAACACAAAATCTTTTTTTTTCACACAAAAATGGTCAATTCTTTATTAATACAATAATAACTTGAACTAGAAGCAACAATTTTGCAATACTAAGCCATTGTCAAAGATCGGTTCGTACTGTTACTACGTGAGCACAAATACTATTGACAGCAAATGGAACGAAACCGAAAGGACCCGAAACAAAATGGAAGTAGGTTCCCATTTCATAGTAAAAATGAGGATAAGACTGAACATCTTTGGTTATGGCCACTCAGACTAAGATGTCAATGAATTCTTATCTTCAAACGCCTCCGCAGAATTCGTACGGTTTGTTTAGAGATGAGAAGTAGAGGACTAGGGGAAGGTCAATATGCAAATTACAAGTACATTAATACATACCAGCTGTTTTCTGTGCCTGACTGACCGTGAAGTTCGCATCAAGTTCACTGTGCCCCTGACCACCTTTTTTTGTCATCAATTCCATCTGTTTCTCATACTCCTGCTGTTTCTTCAGTTTCTTCTTTTCTTTGTGGCTCAATTTCTTTTCTACAGAATCTTCTTTTTCTTTTGAAGGCAATTCTGTCACCTTACATGAGTAAAGGATGCATGAAAATATGTTTAGGCATAGTTTGTGTTCAAAAACAATGCCATTATCCAATATATTTTTTTATAAGTTAGGCAGGTGAAAAAGCCTAGCCGTGCAGTTTTACAATACGCACTTTAACCTATAAGTACGCAAATTATAATTAATAGATTCTTTGATAAATAGTGGCCATCAATAATGGCTTAATGGCCACATCATTCTTTCATTATAGATCTCATTGGAAAAATTGGTACCCACTTGTTAGGTTTGAACACAGGGATAGTCGCTCATACCAAGTACGTTAGGTGTCTTATCCTTTAGGCCAGGACGACTTCATATTATATAATGGGGGGTTACTCATTATCAGTACCCTTGTGAAATTTATATGTCACATTTATTTTTATTTGTATCTTTATTCAACACAGAAATGACCATGTTTATTTTACCTTATCGTCATCTTTTTCTTCAACAATGGATTCATCTTCTTGTCGCTTTTTCTTTTTATCCTAATGAAGAGAGAACATGTCACATTATTTATGAATATTTATTAAAATATATGTTTAAGCATTTACTTATTTACATTATGTTACATACATTTACATATAAACAAGCAGATATAAGACAAGAATAGAATCCAAACTGTGAGAATGCACAATCACATATTATGATTGTAGTTTCATGAGATATTCCATCATTACAATATTGATAACAGTACACATATAACATTACAGTAATGATAATTTTATTCTCTAATGAATATCTTCAATTAAATGTACACAATATTTAATGCAAAATTATATAATATTATTAATAGAATAACATTTTTATATCAAGAAATTGTTAATTGTGATAGATGTACAGTTTAAAAAACTTACTTTGCCCTTTAGCGATTTCTCTTCATGCTCTGGATCTTTTATTTCAAATTTCTTTAACTCTGCCTCAATATCGTCCATATTATTCTTCTTTTTATGTTTTCCTAAAATTGTTTTATTAATTTTCTTAAGTATAAAGTTCACTCTGTAGGTTGGCTTGATGCCAATTAATGAACAGAACAGCATTTGCAATAGGGCTGACATTTTTTTTAAACTTAGATAATATGTATTAAAAATCTATAATTTTGTTAACTACTGAGATGGATCAACGAACTCACATTCCACCTTCTTCACGTTTTTAAGCTTCACTAATTAAATGATTTAAAGAGTAGTAATTACACTGACAACACAAATAATTCTGTCACCCATCATGAGACAATAGAATGCATGACTGCATTATTTATTGCAAAATAGACTTAGATAGAAAAGAGGTGTTAATGAATTATTTACTCACCTTTACTTTTTACTAAAGGTATGACTAATTCATCATCTTCTGAAGCTTCAATTTTCAATTCTTTGTCACTTTCTTCATCAGGCCAGTCATCCTTTTTACCCTTGGCTGAATTAAATGTGTGACAATATAGTTTAATCATTAATTTACATATATAATACAATACTATGATATAATAAGAAAGAAAAAATAAAATAGAAAAGAAAGGAGAAAAAGAAGAGGATATAATATAATTATCATTAATTAACTTGTTGTAATATTCACCTTTAGTATGTTTATTGGCTTTCTCGGGAGCATTACTTGAGACATTGCTGACAACTGATTTTGTGTCATCATGGTCATCATCCTCATCAGATGATTGAGCTTCTATAATTTTCTTTTTATTTTTAGCTGTCAATCAAAAAAGTATTAAAGATTTTTTTTGTAAATTAAGGTTTAATATAAGTTGAGTTACCTATCAACTGAATTACCTACAAGCTTTAATTTTCATTGCCTGTAGATAATGTGGGACTGTTAATAAAACCTAAGTAGATTTTCGGGTGTTCTAAAAGAATATAAAATTTCTCTAGTTTCAGGGCAGATTTTGCATTATTTTGTTGTTAGAGCAGAATATCACAGAAAGTAACAGACAAAAAAAATTTGGCCCTAACTAGTATTCACTTCATTATCATTCATCATCAACAAGTAAAAATGTGCAATTTCACTTACTTTTCTTCTTACCAACAGGCTTTGCAACATCTTCATCTGAAGCCACTTTGAGATCTACATCACTGCCTTCCGAAGACCAATCATCATCTTTCTTACCTTTCCCTGTGGACATAAAAGCCAACAGAGTGAACATAAAAGAACATAAATATAAAAAGGACTGATAAGGAGTAATATTGTTGTAACATCCCTTTATTGTAATCTAGGAGGTTAATTTCATTTTATCATCTTATTCATTTATAAATATGTGAAGAAGGGCCGGGAGCTAGCACTCACTTCCCTCAAAAAAAAAATTTGGGTTAAGGCATGATTTCTGATGATTGCCTTTTTAGAAGGAATACTAAGTATGCATTCAAGTCTTTCATTTCACTCACTAGACTTAATAGCCTGGTAAATATACAACGTTATCAAACACTTCAAGTAATAAAAAAAATTGAATTTGGCTCTATATTTACTCAATGTAACACTATTAACCCAGGTTAGATAATTATAACCATACTCAGTTTTAATAAAATAATAATGTTTAAAAAAGTCCAAAAAGGTCCAAAAGAATAAGCTATGAATATTAATTCACTTGAGAATAGTTAAAATTTTAAATTTAAGTATTATTTTAATATACAACAATATATATTTTATATTATCTTTTATTGTAACAATAGTTGTGGCAGGGTTTACTGTTGTGTTGTTTAATACATTTAATAGTAAATGTATCAAATACTATGGGTGGCATGATGGGTAAACAACCACTCAGCTCACCTGGTGTCAAATGGATAATACATCAGGTGTCATCCTTATGACCAAGACTTATCATAATTATATTTTATTTTTGTTATTCCAAGTATCATCATTTAATAGCTTTATTTATTTATCTGTTGGTTGTAATTACCTTTTTTCTTTTTTGCAAGTTTAGCTGGCTTTGATGAAACATTTGTTGTATTGTTGATAATGGATTTGTTATCATCCTCTTCATCGTCTGACCTATCAGCACCCTTTTTTTTACTCTTTCCTAAAACAGACAGTCTTCAGAGATAACAGCCATATTATACGTTACACAATTTAGATATTACAAATTCATCATTCAATCAGATAAAGAGCTGACATATTGTAAAATTATTTAATATGTCAACCAATTTCAAGACAACTGGCTCAAAATACAATACACGTAAATAAAAACTTAAGTTTTTTTTTGCGTTTGTGGAGATCCGTCCAAGAAGAAACACCCGACAAAATTTTGTTGTTTACGATTTTGTTGTCATATGGTGTGCCACATACGAATTTTCTAACTTCACCAACCTTTCTTTTGTGACTTTTTGGCAGCCGGTTTCGGGACGTCCTCTTCGTCTGAAACTGGAACTTTCTTTATGTTCTCTTCGTCGCTATCGCTACAATCTCCAGTTTTATTCTTCTTCTTGCCTTTTCCTTTATTTTTAGAGGTTAGTTCTGTCTTTTCATTCACGACTGAAGGCTTTTCATCGAAATCGTCATCTAAATCTTGATTTTTTTTGTTTCCTTTCTTTTTCGACATATTGTGGTTTTCTTTTTTAACTAAATTATTGTATAACAAAATTAAATTAAATTTGAGGATAATTTCAAACCTTATAAAAGCTGCACAGGTGACAAGCAAGTGACAAGTTGACAACGTCCAACAATTCCAACATAGATAATAGGTACACTTAATAATTAAGATCCAACTAGAAATTAGGTGTAATATTTAGTAGAAAGTAGAATAGGTATGTGATCCACAGGTTAATATATTATTAGAAATGTGGACGGGCTCACGGCCCACCTGGTGTTCAGTGGTTACCGGAGCCTATAGACATCTACAACCTAAATGCCGCTACAAACCTTGAGATGTGAGACACGCATTACTGTTTCACGGCAGAAATAGGCAAGGCGGCGGTACCTGATACCCGTGCGGACACACAAGACGTCCTACCACCAGTAATTACGCTAATTACAATTTTGCGGGTTTGATTTTTATAACACAATGTTATTCCTTCACCGTGGAAATCGAACATCGATGCATCGCTTGATACGAATGCACCGGATATCTTATCCTTTAGGCCACGACGATTTGATCATTACATTTTTAAGTACTGATGTGAGTCATATCCCTGGGTGGGTCATATTTACCTTATTTGAGCTAAGTACAGATATGAAACAAGAATAAAACATAATAAGAGTCTAGCGAGTGGCCGTCTAGCGAGATTCAGGCATTTGTCAAATATCTTCGATTCTATGGTAACTACCCTTTACAAGAAAATTGCTACATAATTGCCACCACTTTGTATACAAGGTCGAAGATTGAGGTCTGAATTGTATCGTTTATGGACTGTGGCAAGTCGCCACATCTCTCCCCTCCGACACTGAAAATCGTGTTATTAAGTTTTACGTTGTATGTACGGGCTGAAATTAACTTGCTAGTGCCAGTGCTGCTCGAACCCTACGATGTGTTGAGACTGAACTTGAAAGATGCGTAATGCAGAGCAGCCAGAGATGTGTGAACTCAAGTATTGATGATCCAGACGTGAGCTGCAATGGACTGTAGCGGCGTGATAAGGCAGTGAAGGGGCGTGCCATAGGACCAGTAAGCGCGGTGAGTCGGCTGCGATGGTCCTGTTGAGGCTAACATGCTGGCTGGCTATTAATGACTTGTATTTAACTGCGAGAGTGTGGGAACTGTGATAGTCAAAGTTCTTAACGCGCTGATGATAAAGGCTGTATGAAGGCTGCAATTTTGCTCCATTGCAGATCACCAGTGTGGAAGTATATGACAAAGAGAAGATTTTCCACCGAGCGAGTGAAATTACTCGGTAGATGACCACGAACCACCAATTAAGATTATACTGTTATATTATATCATAACAACAACTATCCTATCTTCAGTTTATTTTGGCAGAAATTGCTTCTCCCTTTGTCGTTAAAAACATCCAAAGATGCGCTAACCTGTTTAAGGAATTGTAAGAGAATTACATACCTGATTGAGCCACATGAAGGGTCAACAACAGCACCACAACTAAGTCTAAATATCGTGTTTTGTCATACCGCAACAATTTACCGCCCAAATTTTTGTCATTCTTCTTCATGAATGAAAACCTTACATTGCCTTACTCTTTTGAGTGTGTATAATTTACTGGTTGGATTCTACGTATCTACTTCAATATATCATATTGTTTATTCTGTCAGTTATCGGATCAAGAACAACTAGAATTTTCTTTCTTGCAAAATATAAAATGTGGGTAAAAACTATATTTGCCTATTTGTGTATTTTTGAAACAATATTATTGAATACTTCCATATTTTGTTATGCTACTAACGCAAACAAAAGTATTGGTGATGAAAACAGAGAAGACATTGCCGAGACAAACGAAGATTCCAAAGAGGCGTCGCTGGAAATTCCTACAGAAAATTTTTTAAACAACCTCACAGCTTGCACTAGAAGAGAAAATACTCTAATGCACGAAATTCGTACAGCCAATCCCAGTGAGTTTCCGTTTATGGTGGCTATTATGTCTCCTCAGAATCAATTTTTGTGTTCTGGTGTCGTAGTTTCTAATGGAATGATTTTGACTTCGGCTCGATGTAGTCAACAAGCAATAGATCACGTTTTATTGAATACCACTAATGATAAAAATAAGGACAGTTGTATTGCTCTTCGTGTTAAAAAAATTGAAAAATTTCCTACGTATGATGGAGGTGAAATTCATAAAGATGTCGCATTAATATATACAGAAAAATACAATAACACAGTTGTTTCTAAAATAAAACTCGGCAACTACACCGATAAAAAGTCTATTACCGATTTCGAAGCTTTCGGCTATGGGCTGAACGTTGAAGTAGGTGAAATCAAAGAACTACAATATGTAGGACTAGAAAACAGAGAATCTGATGTCGGTGACTACATAACAGGTTACCTTGACTGTATCGATACCAAAGTTCCCACGTGCTTTAAAGATATTGGGGGCCCAGCAGTGTTTGGCAATGAGCTCATAGGTATTGTTGTTAATGGACAAAATGTTTGCCTCAAAGAAATGACTGCTCAATTTGCAATTAACAATAAAGTTGTTGATATTTTACCTATTCAAACGTTCAAAGTTTGGCTTGAAGACCAAATAAAAAAGAATGAAGAATCTACACAAATGACTTTGGTAACTTATCCTGCAAAGCCAATAGTGCCAGACATGTCTCTTCATAAAATGACAACCTCTGGAACAAAATTTGGCGTACAATATTACCAATGCCTACTCCTTTGTCTGTTTCTTCTGCATTAGTGATCGTTTGATTGTCTTCTGATTGATTTGACAAGTTATTTTGGTGGATTAAAAATTCCATTCGCTTTTGGTTAATTCTCTAGATTGTTTGTTTTTTTTATTACGTAATTAATACATCTCAAATGTAATTCGCAGTTTTATTTTTCAAACATTGCCACTTAGTTTTTGGATAACATTTAGGCAGCATCGTAGTTGTTGGATGGGAATAAGTGACGCCTGTTCAGTAAAATCATAGGAATTTATTGAGAGCTTTGGACTTTTTGTAAGAGCTCGAGAAGTCGCGTCCAGCAATTGTTTCATTTTCCCAAACTTATATACTTTCAGTTAAGCTAAGCGATCAATAAACTACCAATAATACACGTTACATTGAATTAATTAAAAAAATGAAACAATCCACACAACTTCGCTCTTCGCGTTCCTGCCAATTATGCTTAAATCTCAGGAAGCTTTTAACTGCGACTGCTTAACATCTGTAAAAACACACAAATGTGGTAAAATATAACAAAACCGCTGGATATTCATAGCTTCTTGGATTCTAAAACGTCTACTAAAAAGTCTCAGTAAATAACATTAATTAACACTTTTATATTTTAGTAATTGTATGCATCGTACTTTCTGCTAGGTCTCTTCTGAATTATATAATATGACCTAAATAAAATTCATGAACAATGGCTTCATGTTTCACGTTTGGCTCACGGTGTTTCCCGAGCGCTATGACACGTCCTTCTTTAAACGAGGCTTGTGGAGAGTACTTAACGGTAGGCTGCGGCTTAGCTCTGACCCTGGCATTGCTGACGCCCTTGGGTGACGGTAACCACTCACCATCAGGTGGGCTGTATGCTCGTTTGCCAGTACAAGGGCAAAATATAAAAAAGGAAACCACCTTTTTTTTAAATAAATTAGTTTCCAATTTTTTAAGTGCATTTTCTATAAAAGCTTGTTTTTTTAGTTTTTTAAATTATTATTTACTAGCTGACCCGGCATACTTCGTAGTGCCTCAAGCGATAAATAAAAGACCTAAATTGTATTAAAAAAATAAAAACAAACAAAAGGAATCCGTCCGACGGGGGACGCATCAAAGGAAAAACAACATTGTTATTTTTATTTAATTCCGAGCATTTTCATATTTATCTACCTTTTATACCTTCTCTGGACTTCCACAAATAATTCAAGACCGAAATTAGCCAAATCGGTCCAGCCGTTCTCGAGTTTTAGCGAGACTAACGAACAGCAATTCATTTTTATTTAAATAGATTAAATATGGTGTTACAATTAAATATCAACATAGCAATAATAAGCTATTAAAAGCGGTTGAATTAGGCTTTAACAGTATTTATTTATTGAGCTTCAAGCACAAAAGTACTGTGGCGGACTTAACGCCTGAGGTATTTTCTACCAGTCAAACAAGGGTAGTGTAGCGAATCCTGTGGTAGGTGCATAAGTATATCGTTATGTGTATGGCTAGGTACCATTAGCATTATACCGGTCACTCACGTTCGCACGAATACGCAAACCCACAAGTGTAGGACGACAATTGCAAATGATTATGCATTAGAACAACACCAAGGTGATGGAGTTCATTGAACTCCTGCAAAACGAATCGACCATATGGGACCCTCAAAAGGAATCCCATAACAACAGATTGGCCGTTAATGACGCCTGGGAAAGAATTAAAAACTCTCTTTTTCTTCAATGTTCTATTGGCGAATTAAAAAAGAAGAAAAATTCGTGAAACATTCGTAAACAAGTGTAGGAGGAAGCGCAAACGGGTTCGCAAATTGAGTACTGAACCCATTTGCACAGCCGCTAAGCTTGCGAATGAATGCCTGACGGCCCTTCACATGCGCGCGAACATTCGTACAATGTGCAAAGTGCAAGCAGGAGGTCCATGAACTCCATCACCTTGGTGTTGTTCCAATGATGAAGGTACGCTACACAGTAGATGTCACGGACTATGAAATGGCGAAACGTCCGTTACCTTCGCAATCGTGGGGGCAACTGGTCACACGAATGTGTTGGAGACGCGAAGGATCGCGGTTCGCGCGCTTTGATGTACGTTAAAAAACAGACACAGCTTGAAAAACCGCGAATGCAGCTTAAACTTTGCATAATCATTTGCAAATGTCGTCCTACACTTGTGGGTTTGCGTATTCGTGCTTTCTTTTTCTTTTTTTTTCCTACCTAACCTGGTAGCCTTGAGAGGCTATTCCAGCGTAACCTTAACTAGTAGGTGAGCTCATGAGGCTCAAACCTGACAACGTTGCTAACACGAACCCTAGCAAGAGCCGTGCTTCGCACAATCTACCACCGGATCGGAAACGCGACCCACTGAGAAGATCTGGCGAGAAACTCAGTGGGCTGTGTCTGAGGGTTAGTTTACTCGTCGAGCCCTTCGGCGCAAGCGACGGGTTCGGCGAGAACGGTGACCGGTGCTTGAGGTACCTAAAAGCACCGTTAGTGGATCGGGAGGATCCGAGATGACGTGTTTGGGGCGACCTCGACTGCTTTCCATTCTTTCCGCAGGATAGGAAATGGGTATTCGTGCGAATATGAGTGACCGGTATAAGAAGTGTAGTATCTATGGCAGTAACTAAATCTAATTTATTAATCTGTGAGACTTTTTGGCGGGAATGCGAGGAGTGAAGTTGATTTGTTTTATTTTGTCTATTTAGTGTTTCTTCAGGTTTAAATGTGTAATTTAACGGTGGATTATTAACTGTTTGATATCAGTGAAAGTGCACAAATGTGGGAAAATGAAACAAAGCCGCTGAACGCAACTTCTCGGGATCGTTCAAAAAGTTCACTGAAAAAATCTCAGTAAATGACCATCATTTTACTGAGATTATATTTCATCCCATATCATCTCATTTCATTTAATTTCATCCTAGTTGATTAATGTCTCAAATTAATCATCTTCATTTTATTTCATTTATCTCCTTATTATAATTTTTCATAAAAATAAGAATATAAATTAAAATAAGACATGACTTAAAGATCTTAGTTACCTGGTCATAAAATACCATAAAAAAATCTCCGACACAGATAGTAATAAATAGATTTTGATTGAGAGCATAAACTATACATTTATTATATTCGAGAGTCTCCAAATAAATAAAGCGAAAATAAATATTGCTTCCTAAATTTAATGAGTAATATAGGGCAAGGAAGTGTGAGTATAATCTGTTAAAAACATATATTTTATTCAATTTACTCAGTAAAGAATATTCTAGTTGCAGACTATTGTCATTCTTGTAAAACTTAAAAACTCGTATTGTTTTCACAATTTTTTTTCTCTTCGCTTTTTTTTTTTTTTATTGCCTTTGTATCGTATTCGCTTATCACACTTTGTATTCGCTTATCACTATTTTTTTACTTCAGAATGGGGGGGCCAATATTAAACCTGTAGCTCGACCAAGTATTCATTATCACAAAGGCTATTGCCCATTTGCTTGTGGGGAATTCACAATGGATGGGAATAGAGTTTCCAGAAGTATATCACCAATTGGAGAGAATTTGGCTAACACAGAAGGCTATGGGCAAGATGAACCTGATAATACTATCAGGTAATATATATTGCTATGAACCATTGGAATGGTCTTTATTACTAAAACTTAAAACTTTATTATTAGGGTTTTTGAAAAAGAAAAATAAATAATAATGGACATTGTGAAAATATTACTTTGACATTTTTGTAGTAATTATTAAAATCTTCCGGATTATCTTATTAAAGTCTTCAGGAGATTAACACAATACAGAATTCTCAAAACCTCTATGCATTACATTATAGGAAAGCACAGTAAAATCCCATATAGACTTGTGATTCTCATCACTCATCTCACTCACTAATGAGTGATTTGTTCTGATGAAATGTTCTGATCACCCTCACACACAATACACTTTGTCTATTGCTTTCTCTTACCTTTTACTTAGGTCTGTTGATATTTTACAAATATCCCCCAATTTTACTTAATATTGTTTGTATATCACAATATTATTAGAAATAGGTAATTAAATGTGTAGATAAATCCAAAATAAAAGAGGAATTCCCAACAAGAAGTAAATGATAAAAACAGGTAGAAGAAACATACTGTAAATTAATTAGATCTGTCTTAGGTGTCTTATACAATACCCTACAATAAATTTTAATATATATCAAAGAATATAAATAATTATAGCATTATTCAGAATAAACCGTTCCTAACACAGTTTACTTTAAACTTCAATAGATTAAACTAAAAAAACTGATTAATAGTAATTTCTATAAATTTTATAATGTATTGTCATACCCTAAAATAGGTATATATAAATTACCATATCAGTTCTTTTTCAAATGTTAATCAATATAAATCAAATAGTCATGAAGATATTTGAACGGAATAAACTTCAGAAATTTTTCCATTGGTGGTGATTACTGTCTATTAGTTGAGATAATTATGGATCAAAAAATCAGCCACTATTTAAATTGGATACTATTTTCTGTAGTGATAAATGTTTTTGTCTACTTTATAAGTATAATTAGTATTTATACACCAGTCTAATTCAAATTGTCTTTATTTCAGTAAGCATGCTCATCCAATAGAAGTACCTAGGAAGCCCATAACTAGAAGGCAGAGTTCAGTTGATCCCCAAATAGAAAATCGTTTTTGTAAGAATGAGAGGTAATTAATTAATTTTATTTGGATTATCAGCATGTTATCATTTCATCAGTCACACAATTCACTGCTTTGCTTTTAATCTATATTCAAATTATTTAAAACATGTTCCATTAATAAACGAAATGTTTAAGTTAGTATTAGTAAATCTAGTATGTTTACCAAAAAAATCACAAAAACTGATACACATAGCTATAAATCGTGGCATCATCACTGCTTTTAAGAAATGTAGCTTACTTAAAATGGCATATGGTTAGTAGTGACTAATGATTTGGTAATTTTTTTATTGCAGTGAAATTCTTTCAAAATCTTTACCTGCCTATTTTCCGTCTCATCTTGATTTCAGTAGCAATTCTGAAATGGAAAACATTGAACTACATTTGAGTAATGTTTCTAATAGTTCATCGAACATTATTAGAAGCAGAAGTTATTTTGATGAGAGTCAAAATGAAACTGGATCTTTTACAACACATCAAGAAAGTTTTTATCGTGAACAAGAGACTAAGAATAGCTTCATAGTTCAGACAAGCATAGTCATTTCTGCTTTTGTTATGATTATTTTTAGTGTCAATTATAGTAACGTTTTAAATAACAAGAATGAAATACTTCCATCTAGTATTAAGTATGATAAAAATAGTTTTAATCATGATATGTACAATTTAGGAGAAAAGTACAATGTTAATGAAGATTCAATTCTCCAATTGCAAACAGGTAAGATTATTTAATTTGTAGTCTTATATCGTCATTTTGTGGTCCATTATGTTTCTTTTTTGAAGTACAGATTTCATTAGAAAATTTAGTATCTGCCTGCGGATTTCGAATACCTGCAAAATCGCATCGCTCGATACGAATTTAACCAGGTGTCTTTTCCATTAGGCCATGACGTCAAAATGCTTATTAAACTTTAGTCAATGTAGCAATAAACTAAATACCAATTATTTCTTTGAATTTCAAGTTATTGAAACCGCCTCAGTAATTCACCTGTCATCATGTGACCCGCATGCTCGTCCACTTGTTATATTAATAAGTGAAATAAATATAAATTGTGATTGAAATTGCTGAAAATCTAATTACATTTTTATTTCTATTAAATGTATAATACATAATCAAATAGAATAAGTATTCAGATCATAATGTTTTATTTTTATTTTTTAGATGGATGGACAAGCTCACAGCCCACCTGGTGTTAAGTGGTTACTGGAGCCCATAGACATCTACAACGTAAATGCGCCACCCACCTCGAGATATAAGTTCTAAGGTCTCAGTATAGTTACAATGGCTACCGCACCCTTCGAACCGAAACCACAGCCCACCTGGTGTTAAGTGGTTACTGGAGCCCATAGACATCTACAACGTAAATGCGCCACCCACCTCGAGCTATAAGTTCTAAGGTCTCAGTATAGTTACAATGGCTACCGCACCCTTCGAACCGAAACCACAGCCCACCTGGTGTTAAGTGGTTACTGGAGCCCATAGACATCTACAACGTAAATGCGCCACCCACCTCGAGATATAAGTTCTAAGGTCTCAGTATAGTTACAATGGCTACCGCACCCTTCGAACCGAAACGCATTACTGCTTCACGGCGGAAATAGGCGGGGTGGTGGTACCTACCCGTGCGGACTCCCAAGAGGTCCTACCACCAGTGATTACGCAAATTATAATTTTGCGGGTTTGGTTTTTATTACACGATGTTATTCCTTCACCGTGGAAGTCAATCGTGAACATTTGTTGAGTACGTATTTCATTAGAAAAATTGGTACCCGCCAGCGGGATTCGAACACCGGTGCATCGCTACATACGAATGCACCGGACGTCTTATCCTTTAGGCCACGACGACGACAAATGTGCATAAAGTAAAGCCTAATTATGTGCATAAACTAAAGCCTAATGAAATATAATATACATTTCAGGGATATCATCGATTTCAGAAAAAAAAGACACCGATTCATTTATATTTGTTTATAACAGTAAAAATATGGAATTTGATTCCAATGCCTTCAATGAATTTATAAATGAAGTCGCCTTGGTCTCAGCAAAATTTTTGCGTAAGTGCTTCTTAACAATATAATATATTTTTTTAGTCTACCAAACACGAATTTCTAATTTGTTATATAATATAATTTCTAATCAGATTACTAATATTTTATTCTGTAAATTTCTATTCAATATCAATTTTTAATGGAACATTATTCTTCCTCTGCCGCGTCCTAGCCTCGCAAAACTGAGAGTAAGAATCCTAAATAACTACTTATTATAATATTTTATTAATTATTTAAAAAAAAGGATGAATATGAAGATTATTAGTCTCATACTTAGCCATTCAAATGTTACAAAATGTTGTCACACAAGAAAGAGCTTCATCAGGAATCACTCGCGTGTTTATAATGATCTAAGAAAAACATCAAAATATAAAAATAAAAAAAACAATTTACAGGTAATGAAAGCTCAACAGTCCGCCACATAGTTGTAGATACTTCCTCTCTTGTGCTACAAGATTCGGCGGAACTTATTACTAAGTATATGGATGAGGTAGCTAAAGACGGTGTAATGTTAATGACTAAAATAGACTCTCTACCATCATCATTAGCTATGGCTTTACACTATTATTGCGATGAATATAATCCTTTAGCTAAAAAAAGTGCTATATTCTTCACATTGGACCTCAGCAATTGTTCAGGTGAGCAAATTTTTCCATTGCCATAGGTCTAATCATCATTATCAATCAAGGGATAATTGTTGATAACAAAATAGTTTCATCAAGAATTTACTAAAGAAACCACTTGAATGGTGTGATGACAAAATAATATTAATGAGTAGATCAACAGTTCAATTAATTCATTATGTCTATCTAGTGCCTACCCATAATATTAATTCTCATAACTAGTAATAAATAATAATTGTAATTTCTCTGGTGAATAAGGGATTATCGGAAGCCACTTTTTTTCAAGATTGAATACTAACTAAAGACCCGTTTTGTTTTCTAATTAAAATTCGAATAAAACCATTTATTATAATTTTATATAATGAACAGCGAAAAGACAATAGGCTAGTCCACAAAGAGCGAGGAACCTCTCGAGGCATCATTGCGAGGCTGCTGCGCTCGGCAAGTCAGCGCCGTTTGTTCGTTCATCCAGTTTAAAGAGAGAAGAAAAAAAACTTAAAGGAAGACTATTGAACTGGAGTTCCTTTTAAATTTGGTTTTATTGTATTTTTTCCAGATCAAATGCCAACTCATAGTCATGTAGAGAAATGTCTTGCAAGCAAATGGAAGAGTGTCCCATCAGCCAACATCGGTCCCTTGCTAAGTAGAGTTGTTAGCGTACTAATTGATGTTACCAGTACTTTTTAAGCTAAAACCACTATCCAATTGAACTGATGGTAATAAGTAATAATAAATAATATATGAGTGCTGTTCATTTCCTGGTAGTAGGCACAACCATCCAGCCTGTGCCTATTGTGAAGTATATATGCATACAGGTTTGAAAAATGAGATGGCCATGAAATGTGGATAACAACATTAAAGTTTTAATATCTAAAAGTTCCAGCAACAAATTAATGAAAGTGCTGAGCTTATTTTCAAATATTTTGCAGAAATTACTAAAGGGTTTCTTTTGAAAAAAGTACCTTATAAAAAATGCAACTTAAGAAAAACAAAAATCAATGCAAAATTTACCAGCAAAATATTTTAATACTTTATTTATAAATGTTATTAAAATCGTTATACTACAATTCGTATAGGTCAATACCTAATGCCTTTAATCAAACTGCACAAATAGTCAGTATTCTGATGCTTCGAATTTTATACGAATTAATAGAGAGTCGATCTAACGACAGTATGCGCTCAAAGGGTTCAGTTAACTGAAGCTGGTTGGACGATCTATGCAATAGTAGTACTTACCCTACAGGAATGTAACATGTATATTATAACATATTTATGATTGAAAATGTTATTACCACAGTGAACTTATTGGGTATTTGTTACTATTACAAAAACATAATTAAGAAAATTAAATACCTATATATATTATTATGTATTTATTCTTGATGAGAGTGTAGCGATTGCATGTTTCAATGAATGTTTAAATATAGTGAGATTGCTTGTGATATAATTGTTTTGTTTCGAAGCCAAGACACATAATGTTACTTACTTCCAATATAATTTTAGCCTAGTTAATTAATTATTTTATAAATATCTTATTTTAAATTTATTTACTCAGTCAGAAGTGCAAGAATTGTTAGTAAAATAATGTGCAACGAAATTCCTGTTCGATGAAGAGAAGCTTTGATTATTTGCTGGGTGTCAATCTGTTGTTACCAACATTAAACCTTTGTCTTCACAAAAACATTTTGATATTTCTAAAATGGTTGCCCCAGATTTGAATGGTTCTCCAGTTAAATTTAATTTTATGAAAATAATTGTGACAGGTACCTAAATAGAATCATAAATTGATATTAAATAATTTCCAAACTGAGTGGGCAGGGTCTTATTTCACATTGAATTTATTAATTTTATTAATCATGCATAATAAATTGTGATAATTCTTGTTACATTAAATTTTTTGTAAATACATTAATTTTTATAACTTTCCCGGGTTTATTTCTGCTGCTACTTGCAGGTAGACGTCCTAAAAAAATTTAATTTAACCACAGTGCCACCTACTTATGGTAATTATACAGCTGCTCAAAGACCCACTCAACATACAAAAAAAAACAATAAAACCCGTCACCACAGCAAAACCTGGTATATTATCACTTTATTAATAAAAACAACATAGAGGCCGATTGCAACGCCACATAGTTTCCATCATTATTTTATTTCGTAAGTACTTTTTAAGTTGCGTAGTCACGTCATGACCAACGAATAGTATTCAAATAACCCCTTGATTCCGTGCAGGTCACCGGTGCCCTACGTAGCGCACTAAAGTAATGATGCCGATTTCTGTTACTAAGGCGCCGGAAGGCCTAGTAGACCAGGGCCGAAGTTAGGGGAGGGCAACCGGGGCGAAAGCCCCGGGGCCTCCACAATAGACTTTGGCAAAAAATCTTTCACATGCCGACAAGTAAACACTAATACACATCTTTTCCTTACTTCGAAGTTTAATTTCAGATAACTCTTGTCTTCGATTATATTTATGACGTTTGCTAAATACTAAGAGAATCTACGTGCTCTGAGGAATTGTTCGAGATGATACCGGCATCTCGTTTTTACCATCGCACCGCCCGCCACCGGAGTAGAGTTCATCCATACTACCTGGAGCCACTGCGGTCATCCACAGTGCGTTTCCAAAGGTCTTTTTTGCCACATACCATCCGGCTATGGAATGAGCTCCCCTCCACGGTGTTTCCCGAGCGCTATGACATGTCCTTCTTCAAACGAGGCTTGTGGAGAGTATTAAACGGTAGGTAGCGGCTTGGCTCTGCCCCTGGCATTGCTGAAGTCCATGGGCGACGGTAACCACTCACCATCAGGTGGGCCGTATCTGCCTACAAAGGCAATAAAAAAAAAGGTGGTTTCACAATAAAAAATTTAAGTATTCGAAAATCGGCTGAAAAAAAAAGTTCATTTTATTTGGAAAATAATTTGGTTTAAAATAATTTTATAATAATTATTGCAATTACAACGGCGTCGATTTCTTTATTTTTTTGTTGTACTATTACAGATTTGTACTATGAAATAGATTGGGAGTTTTTTGTTAATATTTTTCTATCAGTTTTATTAGTTTATTTAAAAACAAATGCAGCTTTTAAATATCTGCTTATTTTAATCTAAAAGTGCGATCATAGTAAAGAGAGAACTACTGCATGACATTCCTTCTGATGTGGTGGGCTAAATTTCAAAAATCTGTTGTTCTGGGTAACGTAAAAAAGGGTTCTATTACACTAACAATATTGCTGTTGGTTAAAAATACAATGATATGCATATTGTTTGTAACCTGCACCGGTTTTGGATTAAACAACAATTATACTGCATTTGAAACCATTAGGCCTCCTTTTCATTATGATTAAAAAAGAAGTGAAACGATATTTTTGTTACCTACTCGTAAATATTCCCAAATATTTGAATAGGGTATTTTATAAACGAAAAATGTTTAAATGTCCTTTGACAGCAGTTCATACTATAATCTACCTATATAAATATAATTATAATTATTTTTAACACGGGTCAAAGTTTATTATAATTTGAACTACTTCGAAAACTAGCTTCATAAAATCCTAGTTTGTTACCAGTATTCCATTTTTGTTACTGTCCCATAAAATCGGACACGTATTTCTTTTCAATTTTTTTTATTTTTTATCTTAAAACCTGCAGTTTTTATGAAAAAAGCAAAAGAAGTGTATTGTTATTTCATCTGTGAACGTATTTAAAAATAAAACAACATCAAAACTTTTTTACTGTGATTTTAAAACAAAGTTGTGGGCAAATGGTAACAACGTAAAGGATATATTACAACTTATTTAAGTAACATTTTGCTGTAAATGTTAACAGTTTTTTATAGACACGTAAAATGATGGTTATGTCGCCCTATTGAAATGCATAAAAGTTGACGAAATTGATTTGGTGTTTTAATTAACGTAATTGATAGACGGTAACAAAATAAGAATATTTCTCCGCCCTTGGTATATTTCTACACGTTTCTCTACTTTATTACATATTAAACCTCACAACAAACCTCATATTCAAAATCTTAGGGTCAATTCCCACTGAAAGAGCAGCGGCTCGCAGCGGCCGTAAGAGCAAGTGACTGAGCGCGGCGCCGCAAGGCACAGTGTGGCGCCGCGCGGGTTAGTGCGGCGCCGCGAGAGGCAGCGCGGCATCCCGAGGCGCCGCAATGAGCTTCCGCGTGGTAGCTTTGAAAACTAGTGTGCGATCTACTTCACTCAAGGAAAGTTGTGTGGCAATAAATATGGTGGATTTGGATTTATGTATCATAGCACTGGCTGTAGAAGAAGAACAAGATACTCTCTAATAAAATGACGCGAAATGCGCAAGCGGCAGGGCGGGCGGGTATGAAATGGTTGCTCGCGCGCAGCCGCGAGTCTGTCAGCTGCACCGCGGTCGGCCGCACGTCACATAGTTTATACACTTAATATGGCACGTCAGCTAGCTGCGCCGCGATCAGCCGCGCGGCGCCTCTTTTGACTAGTCGGTAGAAGGCTCGTGCAGCCTCGCGACGCCACGCTACCCCTCCTTTGCCTTCAAATGACTATGAACTTTTTAATCACGTAGATAAGATTCAAAATAGTTTGTAATATTTTGCCTCAAAAAGACGCTGCCGGCCGCTGCTCTTTCAGTGGGAATTNCGCCGCGATCAGCCGCGCGGCGCCTCTTTTGACTAGTCGGTAGAAGGCTCGTGCAGCCTCGCGACGCCACGCTACCCCTCCTTTGCCTTCAAATGACTATGAACTTTTTAATCACGTAGATAAGATTCAAAATAGTTTGTAATATTTTGCCTCAAAAAGACGCTGCCGGCCGCTGCTCTTTCAGTGGGAATTGACCCTTAGACACCTATCTACAAATGAAAACAAAAAATACTTTAGTTTAAGATTTTTATTTTAGTACAGTATTCTATTGGTGGTGCAATTATTTTGAGAAATGCTCATATACATAATATATTATAGATAGACTTTTACTGGTGGTAGGACCTCTTGTGAGTCCGCGCGGGTGGGTACCACCACCGTGCCTGAGCTCACAGCCCACCTGGTGTTAAGTGGTTACTGGAGCCCATGACATCCACAACGTAAATGCGCCACCCACCTTGAGATATAAGTTCTAAGGTCTCAAGTAAGTTACAACGGCTGCCCCACCCTTCAAACCGAAACGCATTACTGTTTCACGGCAGAAATAGGCAGGGTGGTGATACCCACCCGCGCGGACTCACAACAGGTCCTACCACCAGTAATTACGCAAATTATAATTTTGCGGGTTTGATTTTTATTACACGATGTTATTCCTTCACCGTAGAAATCAATCGTGAACATTTGTTGAATACGTATTTCATTAGAAAAATTGGTACCCGCCTAAGATTCGAACACCCGGTGCATCACTCAACACGAATGCACCGGACGTCTTATCCGTTAGGCCACGACAACTTGAATGGCTACCATTCGTATATAGGTAATCATTGACGTGAGGACTCGACTTTAACTTCAACTGTTTAGCGCGACTTCTAAATAACCGGCTACAACGGTAGCACGCGTTTTTATACAAGCGAGGACAACAGATGTTAAGATGCAGTGCATACCAAGCACAGGCCGCTAGAATCACTACGATGCAGTGCACACCGATTCACGGGTCGCATTAAAATTGCGCATCATTTATTAATGTGTTACACATCAGTTTAATTCTGAAATAATTTATTTATTGTCGTAATAACATTTTAAACTATTGTATAGTCCAAAGGGCCGCAAGGGAGCTTTGATCTGCAGCATTAAGTTCGGGTGCATCATTAAGATCATCTAAACTGTCAGGTTCTAATTCATTGTTATTCCTAGCTGGAGAGTATGTTGTTGGTACATCTTCCTCTTCATCCTCATCATGAGATTCTTCTGTTTCATCTGATTCGTCATTACCTAAAAATATGAAATTAAAGTAAGTAATAAATGCAGTTGTTCCATTTAAACTATCACAAGATATATACAGAACTGCATGGTTTTATTTTCTCAAAATTAACTGCGATGCACATTTTAGAAAACATAGGTGTAAGTTGTCATTAAGACGGTGTTCTGGGGGTGCTATTCCAGGACCTTTGCAGGAAATTCATACTGAGATCCTACTTTTGTAAAACTATAACTGTGCTTTTTGTCAAGTTACTTTGATGTGGCACTTGTGGAACCACTGTTCCAGCTGTGGTCTCTAGTTTATTCACAAAGAAGAGCTTGTTTCCATTAGAATAGTAAATACCCATGTCATCCCCCAAAAAGCTAACTGGGTCAGTGGTGGCAAGGTTTCATTATTACAAAGACTGAACAAGAATAAGGAGAGCAAAATTCTACAGCAGCTTAAATTGAATATCAAACAAGTGCCAACATCAGATATTAAAAAAAAATTATTCAATAAAAAGTCATAAGATGAGCACCAGTAATTACAGATTTTAAAATTTGATTTTAATTTCATGTTGTTATTCCTTCATCATGGAAGTCATTTGCAAATGTGTGTTGAGTACATATTTTATTACAAAATTTTTGCCCACAGGATTTAAACACCAGCATAGTCACAGAATTACAATTTTCAAAATTACTGATGGTAGAGCATCTTGTGACCCCACATGTATTACCACCTGGCCTATTTGTAATGTGTTTCGGATTGAAAGATGGAGGCAATTATTTACTGTGTGTGTACTTAATAATTAAAAATTAAAATGAAATCTGATGTATTCCTCAATAAATTATTACTGCAAAATAGTATCAACAGAAACAATATATAAAAAATATTTTCAGTAATCTGTACTTTGTATAACGAGTTAAAAAAATAAATAAAAAGGAACTTGTAGTTACCTTCTTCTTCATCGCTATCTCCTTCTTCTTCCATTGGTTCAGGTTCAGTCTTACCAAGAGGGGCACGTTTCATATATTGCTGGCCAATTGAATTCAGCTGCAAGGTATCAAATTAGATTTATAGAACTCTTGATGTTACATTAATTATAATTGTAATGTATAAGTTCTTCTGTATAAATATATAACTTGTTTTTTAGAAGAACTAAGTAAATATTCCAAAAATACCTCGTAATGGTTTATAAAAACTCTACCTACAGTTAAATTCAAATGTTATTATGCCAATGATAGATGACACAAACTTAGTTAAATGAGTTTCTTTGACAAATCGAGGTAAAAAATAGACGAATTAGTTATTTAGTTACAAAATTTTAACATACCCATTGTTGGTTTGCTTGTTCTAAAGCAGTAAGTTCGGCCTCTTCATCACAAGGACTGTCTGCATTGAACCATTTAGAATCGATCAACCGAGGTGTCAATATCGGAAACTGAATATTCATATTTTTAGTTTATGCTGCATCGGTTAGGGCAAATATAATATTTTTTGTAACTACTTTGCCATAGACGCACATATAAATTCAGGCAGCCTGAAACATTTACAATGTCTATAAAAATATATCTTTCTAGGTATTATAGTTAATATTGTTTAATAATTCTTAATTAATTACCTGCTACCTACAACTATGTGCATTCCTTCTGTGAATTTGAATTTTGATTTAAAATTTCTAAGATAAAAATATATTTTTTTAAGAGATTTTATGACCTGGTAACTAAGACTTTTAGGTGAAGTCATTGTGGTTATAAAACATTCTGAAACATTGTAAAAAACGTTCTGAGGTAACACATAAAAAATACTTAAATTCAGAACCTCCTTCTTTTTTGAATTCGGTAAAAAGTACAAAATATCTTGTAACAAAAATGGTGATCGTGTGAAGTGATGTAAATTGTAAATTCCAGTACCATATTTAAAATTTTATTTATATCGACGCATGAAAGGCAAACATGACTAAGCGACAATAACTGCTTTATACATGAATGATAGGCAATAACCATATTCGATGCGCAAAAAAAATATATTTCTAGGTCTATTAAAATCATTTCCATCCTAAAGCTAGATTCGTTAAAATATTATTTTTTTTCAGATATTTCAACTTTAAATTAGTCTACTGTAAAGTTCACGCATTGTCGCTTAGTCACGTTTGCCTTTCAAGCGTCGATATTATATTAGCAATGGTGCAGGTTTTCTTGAAAATAACATTCTACATCACGAGAAACAATTCAATTCGAAGATTTTTATCCACAAATATCATTAATTACTACATGATGGACGGGCTGAGCAAAATATGGAGAAATAGAAACATAATCAATACCACAAAAATTAGGCTCGTTAGAACATTAATATTCTGGATATATCGCTGCTGAGACCTAGACTATGCAAGAAGTGGAAAGGAAAAAAATAGATACTCTGGAGATTTGGTGCTGGAGCAGAATGTTTGGACTTCGTACTAAGATCTCGATAATATTTCTTCGGACACGTTTCGCGACGAGATGGTCGGATCATAGAGCTCCTTGTCATATAGGGAAGGCGGAACGGTACAAGATCGCGTGCGAAGTCACCAGTGCGGTGGACTGACCAAATTAAAACTACACTGGAAACTGCCTTAGAGGAATGCAGTAGAATGGCCTTGAGTAGGAAGAGATGGCGGGACGTCGTGAGACGCGTCAAGTCTGCCCCTCTAACACATGACCATCACGACTAATATTGAGAAGAATGTTACCTGGTGTTGTCAAGAACGGTATTTAAATAACTTATATTGTGAAAAGATATAGGTAGCTTTCTTCTTCTTTTTCACCACCTTATCCCACTAGGTAGGGTCGGATTTTTCTCTTCCATTCTCTTCTATCAGCCGTCATCTCAACACTCACTCCTCTCTCTCTCATATCGTCATTTACACACTCCATCCATGTCTTCTTCGGTCGACCCCTTCCCCTCTACCTTGCACTACCATTTCCATTCATCTCCTAGTCACATGCATCTTCTCTCGACGCATCACATATCCATACCACGCTAACCATAAAAAAATATAAGCATGCACCTAAAATACAAATTTAATCAAAAACTTCATAATATTCGTAATTCACATTTTCAAAAAATACTAACACAGGGTTCATGAGTTCGTGTCATCATCTATACCAGCCAAAATGTATTCCGGCCTTAAGAGTAAGATTAATAGAAAATACACATAATATTTAATTGGTAGAATTGTTGTTATACTGCTTAAATAATAATGCACAGCTAATATTTTAATAATATCCCGTAAATTAGTCCGCCCATCTACACTAATTAATAAAAAAACAATCGAAATAAACAGGCAGGTTTTTAAAAAAAATTGTAATTACCAATAATTGAAACCATTTTCAAAGCCATCATTTCATTAAAACGTTTTAACTAACATTTTTGTTTTTATTGTGAAAAAAGGTGAAAAAGCTGATCAAAATTCAAAGATGTGTAAGTACTATACAATAAACGAACAAAAACTATCTATAAAACGCAATTCATTGATAAAACGGATGATCTATCATAACATTTTATTTGTCCTTAAATCAGTTTCCCTACTACATTTCACCAATCAAGAAGAATTAGGTTGGTGCTGCCTAAAAAATACTATCTTTATTTTGCCTTTTGCTTGTAGTATAAAATCGCGCGTCTTATCGCTGTTAGCGGTCTTAATCAATACCGCCTTTACCATAATGCCGAGTTTACATTACGAAATTAGTGTCATGCATGTTGAGCTCAGTTTCACGAAAGTAGTTTCGATATATGCGAAAGTAATTTCGTTAAAAAATTAGTGTCGCGAAATCCACAGTATCGCAGTAACCATGGCGCCGTTAGCATCAAAGCTATAATTTGCTATATTCAATGTAGCTAAAGAAATGCTTATATACCTATAAACCTAAAAAAAGACTATCAAGAAAAAAAAAGTTGGTAGATTCGAGGATGGTTAACAAGAAGGCATTTAGGTGCAATGAAGTTAGTCTCTGAATTAGCAGATGAAGATCCTGAGAGTTATAAAAACTATTTTCGAATGAGTGAAGATAATTTTGATTTTTTACTATAGGTGTTTCGGGACCCTTGTCATTGATATTCATTAATAAGATCTATATTTTTTTCTGTACTTCATCATAGGTTTGCCATTTTCAACGCTTGAAGCGCGTCCGAACTAACAATACACACGTCCGCACAGCGCAGGCCCTTTCGCGACATTAGTTTCACGTCGCGTTTACACTATGAAATTAGTTGCATGACATTAATTTCACCAAAAAATCGCGCAGGGCACGAAACTAATTTCCATGCATGAAATTAATGCATGCATTACGAAAGTATTAAATTACACGTGAAACTGTTAGTAAAACTAATGTCACGAAATTAATTTCACGCCACTAATTTCGTAATGTAAATTCGGCTTTAGGGAAAACGGGGCCCGTGCCCAGGGCCCCCATGTTCAGGGGGCCCCGAAAGACCGACAATTTCTCTCACACGTTTATTCTCAAAACATTTTTGTCGTGCACATTACAGTTTTTGCACAAATCAGTAATCAGAAGGTATTTACAAGGCATATACTATGCCTATAATGGGAGATTTTGCTCAACAGAAATCCCGAAAGAAACCGTTATCGAAATCGTAACCAAAAAACCAGCAGCATTCTAATATCATTAATGACATATTTGATTACCTATAATAAATGGTCTCAAACTCAGTAAAAAAATGTTATTATAATTCGCTTTTTTTACTTTCCGAAAGGCCTCAATTCTTGTGTGCCCAAGGGCCCCACCCTAGCTTAAGACGTCCCTGGTCTTAATAACATATTAGACAGTGTGTACTGTATTTTTTTAAATTAAATGTTAACGTTGATAATGCTGAAATGGTAAGTTCACTTAGGTAGTAGAAACCGTTGTGTCCAACGTTTATTTTTCCTTTGGTCTACGATCAGCAATTTCAATCAACTCGTTGTCAAGTTCAGCCAAAAAGAGAAGGTACAATTTGTAACTGCGAACATCACTACAAATAGAAAAGAGGCTTGTTAATTCAATGTTGACCGAGTAATTTTCCAATAAGTGTTAAAAATTTTACGAGCGTTTGTTCATTGTTAATTTTAAAAAACAATAATGACAGAACGATTTTTATCAGCAAACTTGTGGTCGTGCATCGGTTAGTTTGATATTAAACTGTTTATGCTACAATGCCTTCATGGATTGTCAAAATACCACTATTATTGATTTTATTGGTAAGTAAATCATCATTCAATATTTAGTTTTAGTTAGAGGGCACCTATTCAAGGTATCACACAATTTAATATTTTAACACATTAGTTTATTTGACATGCTGCAACTATGTACAAAATAGAAGATATTTAATAACTATTCATCTAAGAAACTCTATAACTGATAGCCAAATTGCTAATGAAATTATTTTTGATTATTCAGTTTCTAAAGCATGATGAAATTTATTTTTGATTAAACCGACTTTCAGTAAACCTACTATAAAGTTTAATTTTCAGATACAACATACAATTCCGATGGCTATGCTGCAAAAACCTTCATATTTTTCATCATATGATTCGAATAGTGACCTAGAAGAATACATGAAAACTAAAAGCTATATTCCAAACGAAGAAAATTTACCGAAAATGCCTTCAGCAGTCACTTATTCAGGTTTGTTTTTGGAAATTTATAACTTGATTTAATGATTTTAAACGTTTCGTTTTGTACTTATGTACGGACTTAATAAATCCACGAATTCATCATTAATATTTCTATCAGAGAGCAGAGGATGTCAAGATAAGTAACCTATTAGAATATTTTCGCACGGGCGCTTTAAAAACGTTGCGTTAAAACTCGGCGTTAGCGCTTTTATAAGGTTCTCGATGTGACGTAATCTGTAACGCCCAACGCTTAGCGCTCAAAATGCAACACTGCGCAATAAAAAAGCGTCGCGTTTTATAAGCGCTGACGTATGAACATATACTAGGAAGTGCATCTGTTCTCTATGAATGCTTTTTTTTTTTAAAAAACTCCCTTGCAAATGAGGCCTTACTCACTATGGATGTCGGTATAGCCTAAGTCCAGCGCTAAAGTGTAGCTCCTATCTTTTTCCTGCTAATCAGTAGCATATACGAATTAGAAAGCCGTTCTACTGAGCGTTAAGTAATTAGTTACGTGAACCGTTAATATTAATTAAAAGGTTTTGTAGGCTAGAAAACATATTTACAATTTATCGGTAAAACTTAAAATCTGATTCTACCTTTGTATAGTTATTTTTATACTACGAATAGTTTAACATTCTACCCGACTCTCTCCTTACACTATGGATAACATATAGTAATTTAAAGATTTTTAAATTGAATCATTTATGCATGATGCACCGGCGCCGTAAGTAGTTTCGTACAAACCAGCCCAATTCGAAGTATATACCTAAATTAACTCATGAACTTAATTTAGTAGGTAACTGTGTAACTTTTACTTCTATTCGTTTCTATTCTGTGCCGTGCGTAAGTAACAAATGATAAATGAAAGAAGAAAATACGGACTGCTTGAACTTTTATTACCAACACTTCTAGTGATCACAATTTATGACGCTTTATAAATTAATTTATTAATTTATCACCAACAACACCTCCCGCCGTAATTTTTACTCAAAAATCAATCAAAGAAATGATAGCCGACAGAAATTTAAACATTTGAATTTTTAGATTTCAAGATTTCTGTTTATTATTGCAATTTTAATAGAATTCTACAAATTTAAATTCCATCAAAAGTATTTATAGTATGTACCTATAACCTAAATTTGTTTTTAGCGAAATTAGTTTAATTGAACTATAATACATACGATACCAGCATAATAATTCTAATATTTACAACTTTACTGTATATCATAGGTACTGATTCAAGCTACGTGTTATCAAAATTGACAGACGAAGAATTGTATAATCTCTTAAATTCACAACCAAAGAAAAGTGAATATGGATTAAGTGATTTAATTAAAGTTGGATATAATGCAGACCGAGATGCACCTAAATATTTTGTTAAACAGAAAGAAGATGTTGATTTCAAAAGCAAAATTGCCAAATTACCTCAAAATCATTTATATGATAAAAGAATTGACAATCAAAATGCAGTCTACAGATTGCAGAACAGGGAAATCGTAAATGCGGCTGATGATCGAAATTATCCAGCGGTTAAGAAATTAACTGAATTACTAAACAATAATGTTCGTGGATGGTACGACGACGAATTTTCTGGAATTGGGGGTGATAAAAAAAGAGACTTACTATTTAATATTTTAGTTGCTGAGTTGAGGTCACTGTGTTGCGAAAAGAACCAAGCAAAATCCATTAAACCATTCGATAGATTAAAAACCTTTTTGAATTCCATAAAGGCAGAAGATGTCGAAAAAAGGAATTCAATTAATAATGAAAAACTCACGAAAACTATTTCAGAACACATGTTTTTAGTAATTAATGACGAACTCAAAAGTAAGGTTAACACTGATGAACTAATGCTAGTTGACCCAGAAAGCCTAGCAAAAAATAGCAGTGTGTTATTACTTGGACCAATAGTGACTCCGTTGACAGATGATCAATTGAAATTAGCTGTAAGTATGTATGTGGTTATTGTCAACAAAACTTGGGAGAAGTACTACTCTATTACTGGTGGTAGGACCTCTTGTGAGTCTCTTGTGAGTCACCCTGCCTATTTCTGCCGTGAAGCAGTAATGCGTTTCGGCTTGAAGGGTGGGGCAGCCGTTGTAACTATACTGAGACCTTAGAACTTATATATTGGGTGGCGCATTTACGTTGTAGATGTCTATGGGCTCCAATAACTTACCACTTAACACCAGGTGGGCTGTGAGCTCGACCACCCATCTAAGCAATAAAAAAAGTACTTGAGAGATAATTGTAAGGAAATCAAAGTTTTAGCAACGCAGTACATTTTTTAAAAATTAATGATTTGTAATTCAAAGTCCATTCAGAAACCAACAGTTCATAGATATAAAAACTGATTCGGAACTGATTAGGAAGTCAAAGATTTGTTACTAAATGGCACTGTGTGGGAGTGAGGCCCTCGCTCTGTGCCTTTTCAGTTTACTGTATATTATAATTTTGTACAGGTACATCTATTTTCATGGTATTTTGTAAAATAAACTTCATTAATACACCAATATAAAAAAAACTAACCCGACTACACCGATGGAAGTTAAAGAATTGATCAAAGATCTACGTCCTCGCAAAGCTCCCGGTTCCGACGGTTTAACTAATCGCGTTATTAAACTTCTACCCGTCCAACTCATCGTAATGTTGACATCTATTTTCAATGCCGCTATAACGAGAGGTATCTTTCCCGCGATGTGGAATGAAGCGGACATTATCGGCATAAATAAACCCGGTGAACCAAAAAATCATTCGACGAGTTACCCGCCCGATTAGCCTCTTATTCAACGTCGTAAAAGCGTTCGACAAAGTCTGGTACAACGGTTTGATTTTCAAACTATTCAACATGGGCGTGCCGGACAGTCTCGTGCTCATCATACGTGACTTTTGGTCTAATCGCTCTTTTCGATATCGAGTCGAAAGAACCCACTGCTCCCCGCGATATTTCACGGCTGGAGTTCCGCAAGGCTCTGTCCTCTCGCCGCTTCTATTTAGTTTATTCGGCAACGATATTCCCCGGTCGCCGCCGACCCAGTTCGTTTTATTCGCCGACGACTCGCCTGTTTGCCACTCGAGTAGAAACAATTCCCTAATCGCAAGGAAACTCCAGAGCACAGCCGTAGCCACAGGGCCCTTGCATTAGACGCCTTTAGTTATAACACTAGGAGCGGGCTTAGGGACCCCCGTAATCGTACTCGTCGAACTCGACCTGCAACCTAACCTAAACAACAGCCCGTTGAGTTTCTCGCCGGATCTCAGCGGGTCGCAATTCCAATCCGGTAGTAGATTCGTTCGCGAAGCAGCTACTCTTGAGTTCTTCGGTCTCCCTTGGAGGCGCTCGGGTGGCTGTTAGCAGATCCAACCACTCCTGGCTGAGCCCTTGCTCGCCCACCCGTCATTGGGCAACTGGAAAGGCATCCGGGCAACCAGGAACGCTTAATCATAAAAAAAGCCTAACCCGACACTTCTCAGGACTGTGACTCTTCTTGGAACCAGCTTCAAAGAAAATGTTCAGTGAAATATAAATTAAAATAAATGATAATGAAATTTAATTGGTGTTCTGATAAATCGTTATCATAAGGTACTCCCGGGCCTGAGCGTAATCTGTTACGCAGACGACACGTTGGTCGTGGCCCGGGGGGGTAGTTTTGCCGAGTCTGCCCGTCTTGCTACCGCTGGGGTGGCGCATGTCGTCGGCAAAATCAGGAGATTGGGCCTCGACGTGGCGCTCAGTAAATCCGAGGCTATGTGGTTCCACAGGCCCCGGAGAGTGCCACCTGTCGATGCCCATATCGTGGTTGGAGGCGTCCGTATCGGGGTCGGGGTGCAGTTGAAGTACCTCGGCCTCATTCTGGACAGTCGTTGGACCTTCCGTGCTCACTTTCAGAATCTGGTCCCTCGTTTGTTGGGGGTGGCCGGCGCGTTAAGCCGGCTCCTTCCCAATGTTGGGGGGCCTGACCAGGTGACGCGCCGTCTCTATACAGGGGTGGTGCGATCAATGGCCCTATACGGGGCGCCCGTGTGGGGCCAGTCCCTGGCCGTGGGGGTAGCGAAGCTGCTGCAACGGCCGCAACGCACCATCGCGGTCAGGGTCATCCGTGGTTATCGCACCATCTCTTTCGAGGCGGCGTGTGTACTGGCTGGGACGCCGCCTTGGGTCCTGGAGGCGGAGGCGCTCGCTGCTGACTATCAGTGGCGGGCTGACCTTCGTGTACGGGGCGTGGCGCGTCCCAGCCCCAGTGTGGTCAGAGCGCGGAGGGCCCAATCTCGGCGGTCCGTACTGGAGTCATGGTCTAGACGGCTGGCCGATCCTTCGGCTGGTCGTAGGACCGTCGAGGCGATTCGCCCGGTTCTTGTGAACTGGGTGAATCGTGACAGAGGACGCCTCACTTTCCGGCTCACGCAGGTGCTCACTGGGCATGGTTGCTTCGGTGAGTTCCTGCACCGGATCGGAGCCGAGCCGACGGCAGAGTGCCACCATTGTGGTTGCGACTTGGACACGGCGGAGCACACGCTCGTCGCCTGCCCCGCATGGGAGGGGTGGCGCCGTGTCCTCGTCGCAAAAATAGGAAACGACTTGTCGTTGCCGAGTGTTGTGGCATCGATGCTCGGTGACGACGAGTCGTGGAAGGCGATGCTCGACTTCTGCGAGTGCACCATCTCGCAGAAGGAGGCGGCGGGGCGCGTGAGAGACGCACAGGCCCGCCGCCGTCGAGCGGGGGCCAGGGAGGCGGATATCGCCCAAGCCCTGGCCCTCTAAGTGTTTCGGGTCTCCCTCACATGTCGGCCTGGGGACCGGCGAAGGGGGCCTAAGAAGACGACGTGCAAGCTGCTCTGCACGCGTTTTATGCATGAGCATCCGGGTGATGGAAGGCCGGCTATCCTCAACCCACGCTGGTTCTGACCCAGCGGGGTATTCCGTAGGATAGACCATTCTAACCGGCGCCATCTAGGCGGGCTTCGGATAGCCTGCCGACCGAGAGGGCTGGTGGTCGTGGCGCCGACGACCGCCAGTCCGGCGTCCCGAGGGGGAGGGTGATGGGAGAGATGTGCTCCGCACTAAACGCTTCACTTTCCCCCCTTTGCCTTTTCATGGGTTCTGTCTCATGCGAGGTTCGGACGCGGGTTGTTGAGCGACAGGAGGTTTTAGTCAGTTCGACTCCGACATGCCCCGCCCTTCATCCCCAGGGGAGGGCGGAAGTCCGGCCATTTCCTCCTGACCAAAAAAAAAAAAATCATAAGGTAAACCATAAAATAAACCACATTGTTTATAACACACAAGATACACTAAAAATTACACTGTCGCGAATCACATGTCTTGAATATATATATATGTACCTTCGTTAGTTGAATTATCTAAACTTTAATAATGGTATATTTTTAGATGGATCGTATTTCAAATGAGATTTCGAAACCAGAGTATCTACCACTTCTTCGACAGTTGTCGGCAGGGCAATTATACAATTACAACAATCTTCGAAAAAGTTTCATTACCGGTCCAGAGACAAGAAGATACATTAAGCCACACAGGTGTAATTATCAATCGAAACTCGCAAAGATTTACGGGGGCCCCAAATGGATTGTCTGCACCGGCTACCTTAATTTAAATGAACCTAGTCTGTATGATTAATCATCTAAAGAAATAAAGAAAAATATCTGTGTAATAATTTGTTCATAATTCTAGTTACCTTTTTTTAACAATACAAACTTTTACTTTAATAATTAATAATTTAGACTTGCCAGGCAGCTTCACATGCACTATATTTGTAAAGAAAAAAGCTATATAGTTGCATTTGACGTGATAAAGAATTAATTGTGTTAAACTACCGGTCAATTTGGAAATCCTTTGATACGAAAAATCTGGAATCATCGAATGTTATTTAAGTACAGTGATTAAAATATTTTTATTAAACATATTAATAACAATAATAATTAGTGTTTAATAGAATAATAACGGTAAAAATATTATTATTGTAACCTTGTAATGTTCACTACTCAATTTTAATTTTGAAAAAATTGAAGTAAGATACATTTGAAAATGACTAATAAAATAATTTATATAAATATGAATTATCAATTACCTTAAAAATGCGATATTTATTACTAGAGCAGTTAAATTAATACAATATTAAAAAAGGTTATATAAAGTAAAAGAATATTTCTTCAAAACTTTATACATAGATCTTCAGCTAGGTATCGGAAGTATGCATTAAGACATGTGCAAAATTATATGTTAAATCTTTTGATTGGCCCTTTTTGTGATTACGTTGTAAAAAATTCTATTTATCTGACTAAAATTGATTAAATACTTTTTTTATTGCCCTTGTAGGCAGACGAGCATACGGCCCACCTGATGGTGAGTGGTTGCCGTCGCCCATGGACTTCAGCAATGCCAGGGGCAGAGCTAAGCCGCTGCCTACCGCTAAATAATTTCATTACTTCTATAATTCATTGAACTTTTGACTCGTCGATGAATAAACCAGCCAGCAACGATAAACCAGCTCGCCTTATTTTTTTAATATGTAGGTACACTAATAGTTTATTTTTCGGTATACTTTAAGGTCATGTGAATCAATGTATGCGTATGTATGACAATTCAAAATCTGAAAATTAATTCTGAAACAAGACAATCGAACAAATAATTCAATTGAACGAACAAATAATTCAAAAAATAAAGCTATCCATTAAAAAAAGAACTTGAATTTGAGATATAATGCGCAAACTTGTGAAAATAAATTGGTTTACATTTTAGTAATTAACCAAAAATCGGACCAATATAATTTTTTAACAAACATTTAAGAACAAACGCCGAACAGACGGTTCATAATAATAAAAATTATTTTTCAGGTGCCAGGTTCATTGAAGTTGCGAAGTAAATTGACCTTCATAACACTACAAATCTTGCATACATTCCGGACCTATGCAAGTGTAGTTTCGCTCACGTGGCCCGTTACCTTATTTTTTTACGGGCCTGGGGCCGAACCTTCTACGAGGCGCCTAAGGAGGCGCGCGGAGTATGTGGGACTTGACGATCTGCTGATGTTGGGAGCAGACCGCGGGCCCAAGGAGTTTTAGGGTCCTACCGCACTAAACTACTCCCCTAGTACTAGTAGGTACGCGAGCGTGTGCTCCGCCGTGTCCTTGTTATAGCCACTGCAGAGGTGGCACTTCGGCGTCGGCTCTCTCCGGGCGACGAGGTGCAGGTAGCGACCGAAACATTCCCGCGAGCGCCTGCGTCGCTCGGAAAGTGAGACGTCCTCGGTCGCGATTCACCCAGTCCATGAGAACCGGGTGTATCGCTTCGACGGTCCGTGGAATTGAGCACGGAAACTAGTATGAGACGAAGGTACCACAACCCGGTCGCCTCGATCTCGACACGGACGCCTCCGTTTACAAGGTGGGCCCCCTGAGGCGGCGCTCTCCGGGCCCCTTGAAACAATAGGGCCTGGCATATATTAAGCGCCACCTCCAGACACAGCCTTCGGATCCTGCCGATGACGAAGGCCACCCCCGCCCAGGAAAGAAGGTAAGACTCACGCAAATCCTTCCTGCGGGCCACGACCAAAGTGTCGTCCGCGTTGCAAACTACGCTCAGACCCGGGAGAGAAGCACGAAGGGCGCCCCGCAGGACCCAGTCATAGCCGATGTTCCACGAGAGAGGACCAAGTACCGACCCCTGTGGAACACCGCGCTCGACGGGGAAGCGGAGCACCATCCCACCGTGCCCGGTGCACACGACCGACATGTCCTCGAGGTAGGAACCAATTAGCCAACGGAGGGTATTGAACGCATTGGCGATGTCCAGGGACACCGCCAGTACAATCCCGCCCCGGTCGACAGTCTCATCAGAGAGGAAGCGCACGCGCATTACCGCGTCGATGGTCAAGTGGCCCTTCCTGAATCCGAACTGCTCCGCTGAACGCAGCCCGTACACACATTATCTCTCTCGTTATCCAATCCCGTTTCTGCAGGACAGTCGGAGCGCCGTTGTTTGTGAGATATCTTCACGACGGCCTAATTTTAGAACCGATACGTAAGTATCTTAGAGAAGCATCAGAACGCTACTTTGAAAATTATGATAAAAATATAGTCGAAGTTTTAAATACTTTATTTATATTTTTTTACTACACAAGTCAAATATTTTAATTTTCACACTTGACTCTGTTTATATAACTGCTTTAGTTATCTATCCGTCTTTTATTATCAGATATAATATTTGTGAAAGAGTACGTACCGTACCTAGAAGTAACAGACTGTTCTGTGGCAGTAGGTACGTACATAGTACATGCCGTAGGTAAGTACTTCTTTCAAATATATTAAGTGTATAATCTATGGATACTTCTTTTTACCTACTTTTTTTTGACTTTTTTGGCGGGAACGCGAGGAGTGAAGTTGTGTGATTTGTTTTATTTTGTCTATTTAGTGTTTCTTCAGGTTTAAATGGGTAATAATGGTGGTTTATTAACCGTTTAATATCTGTGAAAGTGCACAAATGTGGGAAAATGAAACAAAGCTGCTGGACGTAACTTATCGGGTTCCTCCAAAAAGTCCACTGAAAAAATCTCAGTAAATGACCACCATTTTACTGCGATTATATTTCATCCCATATCATTTCATTTCATTAAATTTCATCCCAGTTGATTAATGTCTCAAATTAATCATCTTCATTTCATTTCACTCCATATTATCATTTTTCATAAAATTAAGAATTTAAAGTAAAATAAGACATGACTTAAAGGTCTTAGTTACCAGGTCATAAAATCTCTTAAAAAAAAAAAATACTTTTTTGGACTTTTTGGCGGGAACGCGAGGAGTGAAGTTGTATGATTTGTTTTATTTTGTCTATTTCGTGTTTCTTCGGGTTTAAATGTGTAATAATGGTGGTTTATTAACTGTGTAATATCTGTGAAAGTGCACAAATGTGGGAAAATGAAACAAAGCCGCTGGACGTAACTTCTCGGGATCCTCCAAAAAGTCCACTGAAAAAATCTCAGTAAATGACCACCATTTTACTGCGATTATATTTCATCCCATATCATTTCATTTCATTAAATTTCATCCCAGTTGATTAATGTCTCAAATTAATCATCTTCATTTCATTTCACTCCATATTATCATTTTTCATAAAATTAAGAATTTAAAGTAAAATAAGACATGACTTAAAGGTCTTAGTTACCAGGTCATAAAATCTCTTAAAAAAAAAACCTACTTTTTTGGACTTTTTGGCGGGAACGCGAGGAGTGAAGTTGTATGATTTGTTTTATTTTGTCTATTTCGTGTTTCTTCGGGTTTAAATGTGTAATAATGGTGGTTTATTAACTGTGTAATATCTGTGAAAGTGCACAAATGTGGGAAAATGAAATAAAGCCGCTGGACGTAACTTCTCAGGATACTCCAAAAAGTCTACTGAAAAAATCTCAGTAAATGACCACCATTTTACTGATATTATTTTTAATCTAACATCATCTCTTTTCATTTGGTTTGATCCCCGTTGATTAATGTCTCAAATTAATCATCTTCATTTCATTTCACTCGATACTATCATTTTTCATATAAATAAGAATAAAGTAAAAATAAGACGTGACTTAAAGGTCTTTGCACAGTTGCCAGATGGGGGGGATTCCCTGCAAATTCAGGGGGTTTTTCGACCTTGGGGGGGAAAGATTCTTTGGGGGGACATTCGGGGGGAAAAAGTTAGTTGGGAGAATTTTTTGAGTATCAATTTGCAATTACTATTAGAATAATTATAATCTACTATACTATTCACAAGTCAATATTATAAAGGCAAATTATGCAACCAAATAGCAATAGAAACTGCCGAAGCGGTTCTCAGGATTCGATTTTCACTGCCAAATAGATGCATAAATTTTGTTCCCACATCGGACATGATAAATATCTTTAACTTCGAAAACGAGTATGCTTTAAATAATAATAACGAAAGTGAATATGATCGTGATAATTGTTTAGAGATGGTTAAAGTTATAGGGATAGCTTGATTAAAAAATAAAAGAATCCTTTTGGTTTTTTATTTCTTCTTTAAAGTAAGTAAAAACTGTTTTGGGGGTTTTTTTTCTTCAAAAAGCCTATTTTCGGGGGGTTTTCGAAAAAAGTTGGGGGGAAATTCACACGGTCATCTGGCAGCACTGGGTCTTTGTTACCTGGTCATAAAATCCCTTAAAAAAACCTACTTTTTTTCAAATTAATAACTATTGAAATTATTTATCTAAAAAGTAGGTAATGGTAATGAACTATGGGTGACAATACGATTAAAAGATGCGAATGGCTCAGTGACGACCCCCTTTATATAAAGTATCATGATGAAGAATGGGGTGTACCACAATATGATAGTTTACGTTTGTTTGAAATGCTATGCTTAGAAGGACAACAAGCAGGATTGTCTTGGTTGACGGTACTTAAAAAAAGAGAAAATTACAGACAAGTTTTCCATGGTTTCGACCCGTATAAAATATCTAATTTTACAAAAACTGAATTACTTGAACTTAAAAAAAATTCTAGCATTATTCGACATGAAGGAAAAATTCAAGCAATTTTTGAAAACTCTTTATGTTATTTACAACTTGTTAGAGAAGGCACTGATTTTTCAGATTTTATTTGGAGTTTTGTTGGAAA